ACGTTTATTCGCCTGAGGTATTTCTGCTGCTTCGAATAGCAGCACAGTCTGGTTAGCTGCGAGTCCCAAAAGACCGACAGCATCAACTTCCAACTGTGTGAATCGGGCTGGGCTGGCAGGACTTCGCCGTGAGGAAGCCAAAAGACGTGGCGTGTGTCATTTTCGTAGCGTACCCAGTTTTCATCTCCAATGATAATATCCTTAAGAAAGTCCTGCCGGTGCTAGCGGGGCAACAAACTTTGACAAATGCTGACACGAGCGGCCCGGTCATGATCGGTCAACGCGTGAGGCGTCCATCGCATCACTTTGCAGTAGCCCATCGAATTAAGGTGGTGATCGATGGTTGTACGGGTTTGCCGAAGAGCATTCTTCAAATCTCGCGTGCTAAAATCCGGGCGCAGCTCGAGTTCGCTGCGTAGAGCGTCTTTGTCGAAGGTAGTTGGCCGGCCAGAGTGGGGTTGGTTTTCACACCTTGTATCACCCCCATCGAGGCACTGATACTAGAAGCTTATCGTCCGATCGCTATTAGTACTTGGCCCGAATGCAGCGTTGATCTTCTTAACCGTCTCCGTTGAAGAGGTGTTAAGCCGGCGCTCATACAACACAATAGCTCGCAGTTGACGTTACTCCATTTTCGTTCTCTCTTAATCTCCCTGTTACGCCCGCGCCAAGTTATATCCATTACGCGGAAAGTTTCGTGCACATATTCGCAGATTCTGGAAACTTCTCAGGCCTGCTTCTATTTAAAGACGAAAACGTTCGAAAAACAACGAACCAGGCAAGGACTTATAGGACATCCCAATAGTATGACCTTCATGTGACCTTGGCTACGAAAAGCCCACGAGTGGATAGGAGTAGATTTAAATAATTATTTTATTGTTTAAGTCTACTCTCATACATTTGGAAATTTTTCGTACTGAAAATCACACAACGGTCATACTATTTAGGTCAATACATTGGTCTTAACCTCAACTATTATCCCCCGATGATATAAATATGTATTCCCGTTTAAAAAAACATCGATGACTTTGAGATTTCGAAAAACATGACTTTGAGAAAAATTGTTTGCCTATCACAGTATTTGTCCCTTTCAATCAAACAGTACTTTCCTCTCACATTTTTTCTATTTTAAAAAACAAGTGAAAATAGTTTTCAATGTTATTTAAAAAACAGAAAAAGAGTTTAAGTTTAGTATTTTACTTCTTCATTTATTCTTTTCATTTCTGTTTTATATATCTTGATACCTTGTTTGTTAATTATTAATAATTCCTTCGTTTATTATAAGTTCATTAACCTTCTATTATTTAAAAAACGTTTTTATTTATTTTTATATATAGTTCATCGAACGATTTCATACCCATTCTAAGTAGTTACAAAATTTGACCTCATCTTCTCTTAAATCAGAAAACATAGTATTAAATACTTCTTACTTACTAATTCGTAAGATTATTTGACCGCTCGTATGCTGCAGGTGCAAAATTGACGCAAACAGGACGCAATGCTGCCGTCGAAACCTGCGTCACGTGTCAATTGCTCCATCTTTATATAAATAAACGTACTGTCAGAACGCGGCGTCAAATCGACGCGACTGCAAAATAACGCGTGCCGCTCGTGTGCGCCGAGCCTAAGGCGGGACCGGATAAGAGGGAGTTTACTGTATAGTGATAATAGTAGGGTAGTGGAAAATAAATGGACGCTTCAACATACTAAGGTTATTATTTACTATGCCATAGCTGCATAGTGTATAGAATTTATTCAACGTTTTTTTCATAACGAAATAAAAGATTACATGTTATAGCATTGAAACGGACTATAGTAGATGATATTTTCATACAAATGTATAAACTGTACAGAATTATAGCAATAAACGTGTGACTGAAGATCGGCCATTATTTTCCTAACAACCTAATAGTTCCGTTGTAAGAGAAAGTGTAGCAAATATCTAACGGTCAATGTTATTGTTTTAATAGTATGACTACATTTTTATGATAACATTCTGTAAACTGATAACTTCTGCAAAGAAATATGATACGGTATGATTGCTCTGAAATCAATAGTTTTGTAAGTATTCAACATTCAAGTATGAGAGGACGAATTTTAGCAGCATATACTCAAATAAATATAGTGATAGCAGTACAATGCGTATAACATAGTATAGAGGTGAATGGTTATTGTAAAACTTGTATTAGTGCCCGAAAATTGGGAATGAAGTTTTTAAGAACATACAATTCGTATCGCGACATTAAGGGAAAGGTGGCATAATTGATTGGACGAATTGTAGGTTATTAAATATAGCCCGATTTATGTCAGGTTTGGACTTATTTTCATCAGGAGAATCTCCTAAATTTATTCATAACATTTTCAAGAACGTACACTGAAAGGAATAAAAGTTTAAATTTTTATTCATGGGTGATTCGTTCTGTGTGTTACATTGTAACCCCCCTCCCCTCCGCCAGGTTGCGGTCGTTTTGCTCGTGAGCAGCTCGAGCGGCTCGGTTACCCATCACTACTCGGAATTCGCTGACGTAATTACATTGTATGCTTGATTAGTCCAGGACTCCCCCCCCCCCAGTGGTGGGGATAAACACAAGGTGCTTACTTGCTTACGCATACGTAGACCGTTTGAAGTACTAATCCAAGTTTTACTGTATTTCAAATACAGTAGACTCTAACTTTAATGCCACTGAAAATAATGCCACATGAGTCACTTCCCCTTCACCAGTAGTTTCACGCACACACGTTCGCTCTCCCACCGTGTTGCGTACGCCGGCGCACCAGCACGATCCAGCTTTTGCGCAGGCGCCGAGGCCCACGCCATGGGACAGAACTTAGCATGGAGGGGGCTCGACATTTCATGCCATTTTACTCTCCTACAGCCCCGAAAGTGGCATAAAATTTAGAGTCTACTGTATGTTTAATTAATCTGTACACATAATTTCTTCGAAAAATAATGAAAACATTGAGAATCATGAATTTGACGCTCTCTATTTTCTTTCCATGTATCGACTTCGACAGCTGGGACTATAATTGCAAGATAAGCTTTGTGAACATCGTGTAGAAAATGAGAATTATTTTTTTTCCTTAGAACTAATCACTGTATGGAATTGAACTGTAAAAATGGAAAACGTTTTATTAAAAAAATGTCGTTGATTTTCAGACATTCTTTATGCCACAATTCATAATAAAATTATTACCACCATACTAATTGTCCCCTTGAAAAGTATGAAATTTTTTTTTTGTTCTCTGAAATAACAAAAACACTTCCGTTGGACAAAATCTATCAATCACCCGCTGACATACATAAATAAAAAGGGAAACAAAACTAACGATTTTTTTTTAAAGAACATTTATTACAAAAAGGTATAAAAGTGAAAAACTATACATATACGAGATACTTCACATATACGCACATACTCTGCATATAAATAACACATACATGAATATTTAACGTTACTCATTCGCAATAAGTAATATCTGTACAAAACACATTGTTCACGCTTAAGTGTCGGCCGTATGAAGAATTATGTAGGTACCACATTTTAATATCAAGCGTACTGGTAACAATGAAAAATTGTCTCCAAATACACGTGAAGCGACATACCGCTTATAAACGCAAAAACTCACTTACTGATTAACACTAAATAAATGACGTTTCATTAAGTTTTATAACAATAATACTTGTATATCACCGTGCAGTATAACATAACATTATAATACATAAAACAATCAAATGCCATGAATTACATATTATGTCGTTAACTCGTAAACAACTGCCGTCGGAGTTATTTATTTTTGTCTGGAAGTATACCACATTAAGATATTGTTGTTAACAAAAACAAAAACACATTTAATGGTTACCTAAATGTAGGTGTAAAAATTATTGTACTAACACATATTTTAATAAAAAAAAGTTACATATGAATTCAGTATACTTAAGCAAGGAGTATCAATGCAAAACAAAATATCACCTTTATTTGAGAAAAACTGTTTCGAGCTCGTAACATGTCTGTGTAGAAATATAAATACTGTATTAGTTCAGAACAACGATTTAGGTGTTTCGAAATCGGAAACTTTACTCCTACTGCCAATTTCGAGACGTGGTTGGCTACTTCATCGCTGTATAGCAGTGTCTATTAATCTACACGATGTGGCGGTACAACACCATCCAGGGACATATACATATGTATACATATGTATGTATAATGTAACGTTATAAACGATGTTCTTACAATAAGAATCATTAATTAACACTTTTTGGTAAAAACTGTTGTAGAATATTGCAAACAACGAGTCTAAAGAAGTTCAATTATATATATTGAATCTTTAAAAATACTTCTTCCATTTTTCCTCAATTTCTATTACTTTGCTATAATCTTCTATTACCAATAACAACAAATAAAATTTTCTAATATCCAATACAAATGTATCACGCGATATATCTTAAATTAAACATATTCTCGTTTAACTTTTGAGAGACTAAATTGAAACTAGTAGAATTAGTTATGAGTGTATCGCATATAGGCCAACGAGAAAGCACACAAATAAGGATGGCACTTGGGATACCAGGTACCGAGGCAATTGAGAACCACTGCTGCCTCTAATAAAATGAAGCCAAAGCTTCGATATGTTTAATCTCCCTAGAATCTTAAATTCGGAATCAGCTTCCTACCCAAAAGCGATTATCCAGGTCGTATACTTCATTCGTAAATCGAGTTATTACTTCAAAATAAATTAACTCTTAAGGTGTAAAAAACATGGGTCTTTAAAAGCTACCGAATATTTTAATTTAGAATGCTTGAAAGTATTATAGTTTAGAGTTTTTTAGAAACTATTACCCACTGGAAAAGCCCCATTGGACATGAACACCCAACGTTTGCACATTAAGGTACCGTACACACGTTTACACAGTAAGGATCAATAACATTGCACTTTGCAATGCAAAAACGTTTCCGTATTATTGCTGCTAACCGTTCATCAGTCTGTACTGTTTTGTACACAAGCTATTCATCGGTGTCGTTGACTAGATCTATTACAGTTGGTTTATTACTCTTATTCTCCGCTATGCCGGAACACGAGACAAGCAGCCGACTAACAGGTCCCTGAACCGTTGTCTCCATGTTATTGTTTATCTCGAACACCTCGTTGTAGTAACTGATACCGTAGTAGCGCAGCAACGTCTCCGGCAGAATACTGATATTCCCGTTGCACACCAGCAAATTCTCTTTCGCGTTCTCCGGCACAGGCAGCACTTTGTCGCAGCAAGGCTTTTGCACCTTCGCGAATAGCTCTTTCGAGACGTTCGAAACGCCCCTCCCGTTCATCATATTTCTAACGGTAGTATTATTGTTATCGGAACCGGCGACCTTTGTTCGCTTCTTCGCGGTCATGTCCGCGACGCTGCTCCTGACGTCGAATTTTCCACCGGTCCGTTTTCGTTTCTTCTTCAACTCAACGTTTTCTGTTTCCAATAAATGCCAGCCCAGTTGTTCCATTCGTAACATGTCTCTGATTGCGTCCCGCGCCAACATTTCCTGCTCGTAACGATTCGGTGATTCTTGATTAATATCTTCGGTGCTGCTGCTCCCTCTAACGATCCGCAGAACCTCTTGCACTTCATCGTCGGAATTTTGGTTCTCGACAGTGGACACTCTCGTGTGTTCTTGTTGTTGTTGTTGTTGTGGCGGTGTTGAGCATCGATGTTCCATGGTTTTCGTTGGGGAAATCACATTGTTCGGCATGATTATTGGGAATATTACAGGCATTATCAGTTTCACTGTACTCGTTACTTTCGCCGACTGCCTCTCGCTCGGACTGCCTTTTTGTTTGTAGTTTTTGTCGGTATTTTTCGAAGATGACTGGACAGTTTCACTTGTATTATCAGCTATTTTGGTAGTGCCCATATTAGGTTTTGATATGTCACTCGGTACCGACAATGTGTTTACATTCGGCGATGGTTGGGTAGAATTAATATTTTTATGAGAAAACAACGTTTTTGTATCCGTGTGTTCAGTTGAGTTATTTTCGATTATCGTCACATCGGATTTTAATGGTATCGAGTCCGGTAAACCGTCACGAATAGCATTCTCTTTTTCACACATAGACGTCTGGAACGATTCCGTGAGCCCATCCACACTGGCACTTTCTTCTCGCCCCTTGCTTTCTTCGTATTCAGTTGCGTTATTTGCTACAATGTAATCAGCTAAATATTGATTGCTACTGTTTGCTACATGCATGGTCGCGACACAACACTGGCAAGGACTATTACCGGATACAGAGTGATCGATACTTTTGTCAGAACAATTTTCTACAATTAATTCTGCAGGGCCGGCCGGTTCGGTTTGTGTAGCCGTGTTCGTTGATTTATGCAATTTTAGATGCTTACGCTTTACGGTAGTGTCGGTGACAATTTCGTTGCCTATCCTTAAAATTAAACGTAATTTGTCGGGCAACTTTGTTCCAGGACTCTTGTTCGTGTAGTTGCAAGAAGAATTTGTAAATACCTGACATGCTTCACTATTGTCCTGAGTTTCTTTCGTGACGACGGCACTCGTTGTAGAATCCTCGTTGTGCTTCCATGCCACGTGTACGTTCATGTCCGTTTCGCACTTAAAATATTTTCCACATATTTTACACATTGTCCCCAGGACGACAACACTACAGTTACGTAACTTCAACCCATTGGGAATATTAAGTTTTTTTGTACTGTGAACACTATCCGACGGTATATATTCCCACTGAGATCTTTTCATTTGAAGCCCCAAGTAATGGAAGAAATCTTCCTTTCTGTTTATCGTCGAGGCATTGATATTGTACGACCGTAGAAAAGATTTTCCGCTGCGTTTCAGTGCCCTCAGCGAGTATCTGGTTGGTTCTTCTCCGCTGTGGTAGTCCGTCTGCACGCGTGGCGCCATCTCTTAATGGTCATTGACCCCTGTAAATAAAAATATTCGATGTCTCTATAACGTTGATGTTGCGTTTCTTCTTCATACATACGTCGAAAATAAGCGAGTACTTTTTCATGTAATATTTAAGATACATTATTTTTAATAACTGTACATGTAGTGATGGCTTTAATCAGACGGTAGGCATATTCTCTTAAACAGAATGGACGATGTAATTTCTGAAGTAGAACTGTACGTTGCATAAAGGAATAATAGTATATAATGTAAATACTAATAAAATATTATTAAAAAAATTAATCATTTGAACAGATTTTTACGTAGTACGTGTAGGTTTTACGAATACATTAGCAGGATATAGAATCTTTGGGAAAATTCATCCATAGTATACATATGTACATAACCAGCGAATATGAAAACAAAACACTGTTTTCAAATGTTTTCAAATTTCTACATTATGAAATAAAAGATATTAAGAAAGTGCAACGTAGTTGTGTCAGATACCAATTATAGTCACAATCAGAAATAACAACTGTCATAATGTAAAAGTTAGACTAATCAACAAAATAAGAGTGTAACTTAAAAGTAAAGTTAAGAGTGTAAACTTAAAAAGCAACCCGGCGCAAACAAAAATGAAGTAAAATCTTAGACACAATAAATTAAAAAAAAGTAATATGTAGAAATGATTAGAAAAATATTTAATTTCGTGATTTGAATCGTTTATTTAAAAAAGAAAATAACTGTAAAAGTCACAAAAATGTAACAGAAATCCGAACATACGAATGTCAAATTTTCATAAATATTACTATTACATTTAAAATTAAATACTTTTTCGAAAGGATATTCATACAGTTAACATTATTTTATAGAATAATATTTTCCTAAAGTAATAATACATTTGTAAACTAATTTTTGTTAAAATGTATTTTAAAGCAGAAAATTATTTAATTATTTGAAAGTATTTAAACTCAGCGAAATCGAAGTGTTAAATATAATCTGAAGTACATACATTTTTTGTTATAACCAGCGAAAATCACAAATATTTTGTATTTTTACAAAACAGTCAAAAGAAGGACATTATTTGGGCCTGCAAATGGCCGCACAGTGTTGATGCTATAAATAGCCAATGATACATCGAATGACGTAATTCCAGTGTTAATGGACACGTCATGTATCCCTACTACACTGACTGTATCACCAGTTTATCGGTTATAACTAAAATTCACATTACCGGCCAACACAAACAAAACTGCAAAAATGCGAACTGTAAAGCTCCGACTTCAATTCAATTCGACGTAGCCTTGAAAACTGAAACATTAGTAGACCCAACAGCGCACTATGGCAACACTACATAGCATATGATCCGATAAGACCCAGGAACCACCACCAATGAGCGGCGAGGCCGTTTATAGCTTGACCAATCAGCGTGGCCGCTCTACCTCACGTGCCCTCGTCACACACATTATAAAGCGACCCCCTTGGAGCGCTGGCTTATCTCAACAGCAGCGCAGAAGACTGAAGCGTAGTTTGGTTGTTTCACTGGTAAATCATCTTACAACTTTAATAAGTATTTTAATAGAAAAGATGTCGAACAAGTTTTGTCTGTTAGCCAAAATTTTATTAATAAATAGATAAATAAAATACATCTTATGAAGCACGATAAGTTTTGTTAATTGTTCTAAATACTCAACCTGTTAATCAGCGAAGACAAATTAGTAACTCGTTATTTGAAAATGCTTTTTCCCTGGGCGTGACAAAAGTTAATTGTTCTTTTGTCATTAGTCACTATCTAGCTAGGAAACACTTTCAATAAAATATGTGCCGGTTATCGTGTTAAGCATGATTATAAATAAAATGAAACATTTAAAGAATTATGATTATAATTATATAATAACGATTGAGAGAGTTATAATTTAATAATAAGGTTATTAAACTTACAAAGAAGATATTGAATAATGCAAGTTCTGCATTAGAGGTTACATCAGATTGCGCAACTCACAGCTTCACTGGTCATCACGAAGAATACGCTCTGCGAGACTAAACATGCTCCCCATAAAGGTCTGTCGTATACTGTATACAGATGTGAATTGATCGCATAAACAGAATTAAATATATATATATATATACATACACACAGACTATACCAGTGGTGGCGAATCTTTTTATGTGCGCGTGCCTAAAATTTATAAATAGATTTATTGAGTTTTAATACGGAAAGAATATCATAAAAAATTAATAACATATTGCAGAATTTGATTGCGACACATTTGAAAATTAATATAGCATTTCGTAAATATGAATTGATAACTTGTCATAAACTTTGTCGTATAAAAATCAATATTAATTATTTATTGAGATTTTTGCTGCTGTACATTGGATGTCAAATGCATTACATCAGGTTCGTATTTCGTCACTTTTAATAATACACAGGTCTAAATAAATTCATCAGTCATTCAATTTCTTCAATTATCTTTTATAAAATTTATTTCAGAAAATAAAATTTACTTGTACTTATTGTAAGAATTAAAAAAAATCCGAATAATTCATAATCGTATGAAATGACATCATCGGTAAATGGTTCACATGCCACAAAAATTTTCATAGGTGCCATAGGTTTGCCATGCCTGCATTATACATATGCATATACAATGTGTTATTGATATTTATATGATTTACATTTGTGTGAAAAATTAAGGGAGCATGTCTTGAAAAATGATCTTTTTCATCACTTTGAAAATACCACAAACAATGTTATAAACAAATTATGAATAAAAATAAAAAAGAATAGTACATCTATACATATATGAAGTTAAAAATAGGACTCTGTAATAATACGGTCCTGTGGCGCAACGGATAACGCGTCTGACTACGGATCAGAAGATTCCAGGTTCGAATCCTGGCAGGATCGACATCATTTTTTCCCATTAAATCTTAATTTTGTATAAAAAAAATGAAAAAAATATTTGCATTACAATAACATTTTCATTTATTGGTAATGTACTGGGGTAATACAAAATTTCATATTGTTGCATGTGAATGGAATAAACAGTTGGTCGTGTAACAAATTCAAAGTATACAAGTAAATAAACAGAATAAATAAATATAGAATTCAATAATTTCAAAACAGCTATTTTTCAATTATTGTTTTATATAAACTATAGTTCCATATCGATCAACAAGCTACTCATTATGTGTTGCATAATATCGTGTAACATGAACTTTAGGGGCGCGAAGTTTGAATCGGAAATAAATAAACTCCTGCTGTAACTAAAGTTGAAGAATGTACTAATAATGAAACAAGAGTAAGAAGTTAATATTACTTTTAAATAAATATTGAATCGATTGAATATCATAAATAGTATTGGTATCGATCCCGTCGCTACAAATGGTATAAACAATTTTGGTAAAAGGATACCAAAAAGATAAGAAGAAACCCATTTTGTAACTAATTAAGACGGAGTAATTGATTTTTCTAAACAATTCCATTTCCTGTATACCGAACTCAATACCTTTTTGATCATTTTGAAAGGTTGACAAGGTACGAAACATGACAACTGTTGGATGGTGTTCAGAAAAATAATGGCTACCTTGAGCACTTCCTGTAAAGGTAAACAGCTGCATGTTGTTGCAGTACAAACTGTCTATAGCTTGGAAACAGGGTCAAATAGGTCACATATTTATATGAATTTTTTATATGGTTCTTGTATCTCTTGTTGAAGCCCCTAGTTGACGTAAATTCTATACATTATGAAACACCCTCCTGTATACTAGTATGATGGTCAAATCAAACGTGTCAAGTCATATTTCTTTTATGGTTGCAATCTTTTTTATTTCAAACCGGGTATTTTTTTTCACATATGTCAATTGGTTCCTCTTGTCGTTCTACGTCTGAAAATATTAATAAGGAAGACGAAAATGAATCATTTGTCACATACTATTTTAACTTTAGTAATTTATCCTGTATAAAATTTTATTTAAATTTCTGATACAAACTACTGCTTTATAAAATTTTATTTAAATTTCTTGTTAAAGACTATTATTTTATAGAACTTTATTTAAATTCCAGATGTGGATTATTATTAGCACTGCAATTGGTCAGCGAGAAGATGACAGTTAAAATTCTCTTGTAGGAATTTGTTATATATATAGGGTGGTCCACCGAAATGAATTCACCGAAATATCTTCGATATTACGATTTTGAACATTTCCGCAATTTGTTGAAATGCATTTTGTTTTACAACAGTCGTTTAAACTTAGTGTGAAATTAACTTGTATAAAATTATGCGTCGCTAAAAAATCTGTCATTTCATGCGCGACTCGCAAAGTTTCGTAAACTCGCGTAACTTATAAAAAGGAAAACTTGAACGAAGATTATCAAACTTTACCTCCCATTTTTAAATTGATAAATCTCTTGATTGTCGAAGCATATTATCCCAGTCAACCAAATCTGCAAAGCCAAATTTTCTCCAATGCCGGTTATAAAGTTATGACTACAAGTTTGGTGTAAGATTTGCTATAAACAACTTGCGCGCAGATTGGCAGCAACATAGGCAGCAAATTGGCTTGCGCAAACCTTGTTCCGGTTTTGCCTTCAACTTTACCATTTTGTCAGCTGGCGTTGCCTGCAAAGCCTAAGTTAAATACGGAAATAGATGACTATGGTTTTTTAGACAACCCTTGTCATTTATGCTGAAATTCGCGCGAAACCTATACACAACTGGTTATCAGGAATGTTCGTTTGATTTTTATTTTTGACAAGATAACGAATTTACATAAACATCTGCAATCTAAGGGTGATTAGTATGTATCGTACACATTTATTCTTTGCAAAATTTACATTCTATGTGAAATTAATAAAACGTTATTTCTACAGGTACACTTCAAACCTGCGAATGTACTTCTCAATATGGATATTTGTGCTTGCGCAATTCAGACATATTCGTAAGTTTTCTTTATTTAAAACATGCCAGTAATATGCATAATGAATGTGAACATACTACCTTTTTCTTTCATTCCTATTAGACTGCGAGTCTTTTTGCAAATACAAAATTCTACAGATTTATTTACAAAATTTAAAGTCAAAAGAACAATTTTATTTACCTTATTAAGATTTCTGTCAGGATTCGAATACAATAAAAACCTCCCAATATTTATTAAACATTTTATTAGTTGCAGTATTGCATAAAAACCGCAGTCTAATAATTATATACGTACCGCACATTATTTTATTCTATTGATATAAACCATAAACAGATGTCATTGACACTTCGCTCTTAGAAACGTCTCTCGTTCAGCTACAATCATACCTACAACTAGTGATGGGTAACCGAGCAGTTCGAGCTAGTGATGGGTAACCGTGCTTTGCTGTTCCAGCTTGTTCGATACGAGCTGATACTTCGGGTGACAGATTTATGATTTCAGGGGAGACCGCGGCTCTGGCTTTCGAAGCTTGAAGCTCGAAGTCTCGGCGCGTAGAGATGTTATCTGGCCGCCGGCAACCGACCCTCGGGCCCTCGGGTTACAATGTAACACACGGAATGAATCACCCATGAATAAAAATTTAAACTTTTACTCCTTTCAGTGTACTTTCTTAAAAATGTTATGAATAAATGTAGGAGATTCTCTTGATGAAAATAATTCCAAACCCGACATAAATCAGACTATATTTAATAATATAGAATTAAGGGAAAGGTGGGATAATTCATCAGTTTTGCCTTTTCGATGAAGTAAAAATAATTGTTATTATTTATAACAAATATATTTATATCCCATCATTTGCTCACAGATTCTTAATATTCGTGCAGTATTCTAACTTGTAAATATTCGTAGTATTTCATAGCAGCGGTTATTACTTTCGAACAAAACTCCAATTTAGCCATTCAATTTCCCGTATGTCTTGTCCGTCTGACTTCAATTGTGTACCTTTTTAATCTATTTACACCCTTATACAATAAACGCAGGTTCGAACATTTGGTCGGCAGCTGGTCTCACCGACGCGACGCGCCGAACAACAAGACCATAAAACCGTACCCTCCGAACAGGCTAAGAACGTAAGCATGGTCAAATGTTGTATTTATTGGTTAAAATGATCGCATTAAGTTTATGTCTTAATGTTACATACCATTATATTATTTTATGCATTTTACTGTACACTTGTTTCTGTACTATATTTTGTCATAATTAATTTCTTCTCTTTGCTTCTTATATTATCTTTGGAATATGTTTCAATTAAAATAATTGTATTATGTTTATATCTTAATGATTAATGTATTAATGCAGTGCATTGCTGCATATTATGTTATATTATACTATGTTTTATTCATACGTTATGTCGCGATATGAATTATATGTTATTAAATATAGTCCGATTTATGTCGGGTTTCGAGATATTTTCATCAAGAGAATCTCCTACATTTATTCATAACATTTTTAAGAAAGTACACTGAAAAGAGTAAAAGTTTAAATTTTTATTCATGGGTGATTCATTCCGTGTGTTACATTGTAACCCGAGGGTCCGAGGGTTGGTTACCGGCGGTCAGATAACATCTTTACTCAGAGACATCGAGCTTCAAGCTTCGAGTGCCAGAGCCGCGGGTCTCCCCTGAGATTATAAATCTGTCACCCGAGCTCGTTCTAATAGCTTGAACTGCTCGGTTACCCATCACTACCTACAACCATGTGGATGGGGGAGGGGGGGGGGGGCAAAATCCAATTTTTTTTCTTCTAGTGTAGGGCAAAAGTTACTATTTTCGCCCAGGGGCAAATGCACTACGCCCCCCTCCCCTAGGATTTCCAACGATGCCTACGACCGATCTGTACCCTACATTCGCCCAAATATCACAATTTTCACAAAGAAAGCGTTAAATTAAATTTTCCCTTTAGATTTTATATCAGTATATGACTATCAGCTACAATGAATAAATGATATCTTCCGAGAAGATTTGTCATATGAGAATAAGTTTTTCTAAGTAAATAGAATATACAGTAAATCCTGGATGAGTGTTTGAAGGCTCCTCGGCACTGAATATTAAATATTTTAGAATCTAATGGTCGTATGCAGCTGAAACAGATATCATTGGCTTCAGAATTTTAAGCACTATCATCGTGCTAAATCTCGTTGAAAAGTCAGCGTTATATCCGAGGATCTCTTTTTGTCCGTGCCGAGGAGCCTTCGAATATTCATCAAGGATTTACTGTAATTGTTACGTACAAGAATGTGGATTTTAAACTATGTATTGATCGATCCTGTAATTCATTGTTTTGTTGATTGTCCCAGAGCATGCCAACGGGGAAGAAATGGTCGCGGATTCGCCGCTAGGTCCGTGCGAGAGTCACAACCGCACCGAAGACGATCTCCAAACTTTCGACTTCATCAGCAGGATGAAACTGGATCTCCTGCACACGTATTACGTCGGCGTAACGCGAGTTCGAGGTAGCAATCGCATGCAGACTGCCTACCGATTGGAAAAAGACACCGATATCTCGATGCCCACGAAGTACGATTTAATATTCTATCTCTTTTAAGACGACGCACAGTGGTACTTTTCCCCGAACAGCTGGCTAAAATAAATTTTTTTAAATAAGTAGCAATTTGTTGCTGGTATGGCACACATATATATACAGGGTGTAACAAAAATGTTGTCCGACCCGAAAATGGGGCACTTGGGGGGTGAATTGGAACAAGTTTTTCCTTAGCAACAATGTAATCTGAGGCTTCGTTACCGAGATATTAACGAAAAACTCCGACCAATCAGAGCGCGAGTTTGCCAGCCGAGTTTCTGCGCTAGCGGTGGCTACGCGCTGCGATTGGTAGGCAGCGTTACTGCGGGAACTCGGCTGGTAGACTCGCGCTCTGATTGGTTGGATTTTTTCGTTAATATCTCGTTAATAAAGCCTCGGATAACATTGTTGCTAAGGAAAAACTTGTTCCAATTCACTCCCCGAGTGCCCCATTTCCGGGTCGGACAACATTTTTGTTACACCCTGCATAATGTATACAGGAAAAAAAATATTGAATCACGACGAACAATACCTACATAAACACATTATTTTTCCGTACAGTCTTCATTGACTTCCACGTCATTTGGTGTACTGTTACACCAGCTTTCTAAACCCTGCATCAACAAAATCTTCCGCCAGTGAGTTCACCCAGTTTGCCATTTTCGTTATCGGTTCGTCAGCATTTTGAAATGCTGATGCATATTGTGAAACCTTGAAGAAACCGACGACGTGTCATTCCGAACAAAGACGTAAAATGCTGTCACGTGGGATTGTGTTTCCTGCACCATAACGCGCGTCTTCACACGGTACGTCCACTAAGGCCTACTGTCCAATAAGGCGTCTCGTCATAGACTGCTAGTGCTGATGTGGACTCCTTAAAAGCAGGTCGTTTGCGGTGTGCAACATAGCACTTCGTTCAATCATCTGAAATCGTACAATTATATTGTTTCTTAATGTTTACGCTTGAAATCGAATATTTTTGTTTTAAATTGAAAGAAACAGGTGTCACAAGTAGGCCAAAATCGTAACTTTTTATTGAAACGCGCGGTAATTATGGTTCGTTTTGTTTTTGTTGAATATTTCCAGACGGGGTCCATTATTTTTAGACCTAAACTTTTAAAAAACAATTTGATTTTTCGAATTCAGATGATTGAACGAGGTGCTATGTGGCATACTGCAAACGGCTTTTTTTAAGGAGCCTACATCAGCACCTTCTATAACAAGAAAACAATCTTTCTTTGTATGACTATATAAAAGTGGGAAATTAGAGTATAAACATAGGTTAATGAAACGTAAAAAGTTTCATCGAGATGTCTTGTATATGTACATTTATAGAAAAATTCCTAAAAATTGTGGTCATTTTTAAGCGTCAAACACGCGCAAATCCCTTAAAAAATTGTTGCAACGATACACCAAATGCATAGAACATCAACGGCGACGATGGTGTGGAAAAATAATGTATGTTTGCACCTGCAAATATTGCCTATTGTTCGCCATAATTTAACATTTTTATCTTCTTTCACTGGTATTTGTAATCGCTGACTGAACGTCACTTTTGCATTATTTATGCGCCCCGTATAATTGATTTCAAGGTTCGACCCGTTACATTAAACTTTTTTTTATCTAAACTGCGCTAGGAATATACTTCCGAACGGTTTGCCAGATGAATTCAGCGTAGTCTGCACATTCAGAGCCAGGAAACTGCCAAAGTATACTTGGCATATTATCAGAATCGTCGACATGGAAAACGAGCCCCAGTTTTTAATCGCGGTGAATGCGAAAACTCTGACCCTGGACATTTCCATGAAGGATGCGGAGGGAGAATTGCAGACGCTATCGTTTGCGGCGGATCGAGTAAGTGAAATTTTCTGTTTCGAAGATTTTTGTAACACCATTAGAAGAAAAATGGTATACGGGAGTATTACTATTTATGTAAATTGAATACAAACTACTAAATCAGTGAAAAGTTTTGCTCGATTTTTTGTAAACCATAATGTTAATTCATTATGTTTCTATATTAATGTAACACAGTACATTATTGTTCCGAACAAAATTCCACGCGAAATCGGACACTTTTTGGAGTAACATTTCGGATTTTATTGACATTTACTTTATATACTAAAACTATACTATAGTTAACAGACTATACTTTAGTTATAAGTATGTAAACGTCACTCAAAGGATTTTTGAAAATTTTTTAAATTATTGATTTTACAGCAGTTGGAAATACAATGTCAACGTTTTTTCAATAAAACATAACTAATAAACTGGTCTAAATGAACTTTTTGGGGGCTTACAGTGGAGATGTAAGAGTACCTAATAAAAATTATTTGACTTGGAAGAAAATATTATTTAACCATTTATTTTGTAATTGTTTAAAAGGAATGCAATTTTATAATAGCGAGGCACTATTGAAAACCTCATGTAACGCATGTAACAGATGCTACCTCATGTATCGCGTGTAACAGATGCTACCTCATGTAACGCCTGTAACAGATGCTACCTCATGTAACGCATGTAACAGATGCTACCTCATTTCGAAAAAGGTACAAAAAATGAGGATATGGTCCTATTTGCCCTCTTTACGGAGAAAATTTCAAAAATATGGAGACTTTACAATTGACCATATGGAGATTAATTGAAGTTAACGCTGCGTTGAATCATACTGGCTCGATCGCCCAAGCTGTGCGGTCTGAAGTTTCATTTTCCAGATATAAACAGTTAAACGAACTCACACATACACGCAGTCACAATCAAGAAACGCACGGCCACGTCACCGGATTCACCGGCCTCTGGTTCTTGACTGTGTCTGCGCGTACGTGTGGACCACCGCTCAGCTGATTCGAGTTCGTTCAACTGCTAATATCTCGGAAATGGAGCTTTAGATTACAAAACGGTAAAGGATTTTTCGATTTGTATTTGCTTGATGAATATGCCTGTTGCGGATTGTCGTATCGTTTTGGGACACCCTGTATATGTATATCTGCGATTATCCTGTCGGTATTTGGTGGGGAGTTGGTGAACTTGCGCTCTTAATCATTAGCCCTCGCATCAGTAAGTTCTTGATACTGTCTCATTTATTTTTTGGAGCATACTTTACTGTACTGTTTATCGTATTGATTCTTCTATGAATCACACCTAAGAGAGGACTAGTTATCCAACAGTATACCACAGGCTCTGCGTGCTACTATGCACGAATTGAGTCGACTCAATAGCGGAATATATACGTAGTGGGACTCTCCTACTCTCCCCCAGTTCTGAGTCTCTTTACCTACTCAGGTATGATAGACATTTCTAGTCTATCAAGTGAAGATTTAATTTATGGTACGGTTCAGTGGAACATCTGACCCTCAAAGCAATTTAGTTCTTATGCGCCCGGTCGAGAATACCTGCACCTTCTACATACAGTGGATTCTAACTATATTGCCACTAAATATATTGCCACGCGAGGCACTTCCCCTTCACACGTACTTTCGAGCACACAAATTCGTTCTCCCACCACGTTGCGTACGCCGGCGCACCAGTACCATCCAGCTTTTGCGCAGGCGCTGAGGTCAAGGCTATGCCGATAGAAGTTAGCATGGAGGGGGCTCTGAAATCATTGCCATTTTACTCCCCTATAGCCCCGACAATGGCAATATAGTTAGAGTCGACTGTAATTACAAATTGTTCTTACGATACTTCGAATATGAAGTCGGTGGGAAAGCTTTCATGGACTCAGAGTCTCAGTGATTTTAAGACTAAACTCCATCCCACGTAAGAGTACCCTCACGATCGAGCGAATTTTCAACCGATCTGCGCATCCCTACTACTGTCGACCGATTCGGAGACATGCGATTGCTCGTAGCTCGCTATCTCTGCCGGGCTCCACCAATGGACGATGTAGAGTAAACGCATGGCGTCACCGACGCCACCGTAAACAGTGCACAAGTGAGGGTTCAGACGTTGCAACGCCCTCCCAAATACATCATAGCGTGACACGAGGTTATTCTTACGTGGGACGGAGTTTACAAGGGGATGACACGGTTGTCGAAATAGCTTTTGGAACGGCACTATATGGAAGTTATAGTACACAAATATAGTATTATAAAATCCACATAGGTTTCTTCAGAATGGGTGTTGGTGTTCGCGAGATATTTTGGTTTAAAGTTTTGCATGTGGCAAGTAGTGCCTTGCACGGACATTGGTTTCAGATTAGCAGAAATTCTTGTAGTATAGTCTAGGTTATAAATTGATCTAGGTTAGTTAGCCTGGGTTCTGTTGCAAGACTTGCTGTTAATTTGCTGCCAATTTGCTTTACCATTTTGTCAGGAGGCTTTGTCCGCAAAACCCACGACAAATGCGGAAACATGTGGAACACTTATCAAGACATTACTGTATTTAGTCACTTGGATACAACTGTTTGAATAAAAACCTCTTGTTAAATTTATATAAAGTGTTGTTAACATTCCTTCACCTGGAATCCAACAACAGTATCGTAAGTAATTTTATTGATGGCTCAGAATATCCACAATAATAAAGAGCTGAAATGTAGAAAATCTAGGAAAAATTGTATGTATTTAATGAAAATCGGGTACAAAAATATCAAATAATACGATGATATGGTTGAAATAATTTGTCCCATAAATGTATCGCTTAGGGCACTAATCCAAGTTTTACTGCACTATATATATTGGTTTTTACATTACAGTGGTAATGATTTCACTCAACTTCTTCAGATATGTTATCGTTCCTATGAGTGGGGGGGGGGGAACTTGTGGTAGGAGTATCAAACTTTTTCCCCCATAGCCCTTAACTTTCCATCCTTTACCGTTCAGAAATACCAGGTATCTTTCAGACTAAGTTACCGTAACCCCATGTGACCTTTGTGGATTAAGTTTCGAAGTGATCTTGTGAATCACCCTGTAGTCCAATAGTGGTGGAGTTGCCTTTGAAGTAAATCGAGTCACGCACGCCAGTAAAACATGCCATTAAACGTACGGAAGTGAAGCGCATCGCTCCAAATCTCAAGAGCGCTGTTAATGGGGATCTAGTTTAAAGCGAACGGCTCTTAGAAGTGTCACCGACGACGCGGCGAGATGATTGATTCCGCGGTCTCTGGGACGCATCGAAACGGCGTGGCGTGTCAGTCACGAGATCCTTTGTCAAACGTCGATCGCAAGCCGCGTGGGCGTATGAATTGGGTCGTCGCCAGGACACGTGTGAATCGTGTCACGAGCTGTTAGGTAAAAGCCGTGCAAAATAGTTTAGAGATGATTTTTTTTTTCTCCAGATCCATAACCAAATAACACAAAAACGTCCTATGTACGTCCGATGGACGTATGTTCCGGACGTTCTGTACATTCGGAGGATGTCCCGAAAAGGTTCATATGTCCCTGTTAGGTCCTTGTTATTCCCGGGACTCCCTCCCTGTCCTTGTGGGGGGTGGTAGATTTGTGAGGGGTACCAGAGGAGGGGGGGCTCCTGAAATATTCGGGACATAGGCAGGTAGAACAATAGGGGGTTGAAACAGGCGACACAGCTCTCTCTCGATGACGGAACGTACGCAAGCACGATGATTCCACCCCTGGTACAGACTCGGTCTGTGGGTGAAGCAAAGAGTGAGCCGGTACTCACTTTGGAGACGAAGGATCGGTTGCCCCGACGACCATATTCCATAGCTATTTACTTAGGTAGGGAAGGGACGATCCTAATGACTCTCCGCCCCCCGGGCGAGTACTTCCTCGCCTCCATGTGGCCCGGGCCTAAAAAAGTTGGTCGGGTTGGAAAACCGGGGGAAACAATCGCCCCGGGTAATGCCCACGGCAGTCCCCCTGCTAACGTGGCGGGGGCTGTGTGATAGCTACCGGCGCTTTGAGCCACAGCTGGGCCTTGGGGGGGAAATCGCACTTCCCCTCTCCCGGGAGAAACGTACTACTACTACTACTACTAGGTCCTTGTTAAGCTCTTTAAGTATCCTAAGAAGGTTCTATTTACAAAGTGGAACGTTCTGAGTACGACCTGTGTCAACATTCTCAGAACGTTTCCCGAATGTCTAAACGTAACATTCTCTGTACGTTTTTAAAACGTTTAAAGAGATTTTAAAAACGCTATGGTAATGTCTTAAAAGACGTATAAGAAACATTTCCCAATTTTTTAAAATTGCGGTTAGGTTTCATTCTGTGCAAAGTGACAGGAGTTAGGTTAGGTTAGTTTGTGTTTAACAAATAAAAGATTAAGTTTCCTGCGATTTCCTCAGTTAGTAGAAATTAGATCTAGTTAGTTCATGTTAATAAATAAAAGGTTAAATTTCTTATAAGGAATTATAATGAAAATATAGGTCTGGGGATTGTGATCTCCAAGTACATTGTGTTTATTTCTATTTTCACAGCAAAACTCTGATTCGGTGTTGATTGGAGATAGTTTAAGAAAAAACATGTTTTTTTCAACTTTCTTGAGGTTTTCGCACAAAACCATTAGTGTCGTTACACTTCTCTATTGATTCTTTAAAGATTGACACCTTGTTCATGGGGTTCCATCAATTTGCACGGAATGACATTGGCAAAAATACTAAACGAAACCATCCAAAATTTAAGTCTTGAGAACATCCATAGGACTTTTCGGACGGACGTTTCTAGAAAATCCGAAATTTAAACCTTACGAACGTTCTAGGGATGTCCAAAATGGACGTAGGACATTCGGATATAAACTGGACATGAAACGGACGTCCTTAGGACGTACGGTGCTATCTGGGTACCCGCGGGACGCGAACGAAGGCGTGTTCCACGGTGCGCGTGATATCGGAAAGACTGATGAGAACACCATTACCCCGTGACTTTCGTCACGCTTCACAGAACTCGCCTGGTTGAGATGCATTTAATGAACCGCGAATAATCGTGAAAGCCTCGCGAGAAAATTGCCCCGTTGATCGTCAATGATGCCGATCGCGTGATTTATGCGCGTTAACACGTTCGCTAGCATCATATTATTTCGAGATCGTTCGTCACAGACTACGTTACATGTTCAGCGTTCTATTCGGTGAAGTGTTCATATCTTTTTGATCAAAAATTAAAAACATACAAAACAGAGATAATGACGTAGTACAGTGACTTTGAACTTGGAGTGTCACACATAGAGGATGAGTCTCGTAACATGACGATTTCAAATAACTCGTGAATTATTTGTTGTACAAAAAAATTTTTCAATTAGTCTGATTAAATGTAATAAAATTTATTGATTCCAGAATTATGCATTACTCTATTTGTTTGAAAAGCCTGAATAGCTAGTTTTCAATTATAATTCATTGTTCACATGTCAGCTCGGACAAAAAAATGTTTCCAACAAAGATTAATCAGCACTTCCTGTTCTACAAATTCCAGTATAAAAAATTAAAAACAAAAATTTGTTTAAATAAAAAATGAGGTCACCTTGATTTTTGTATGGTCACTACATATTTTTTACTTAATAATATTATAGCTGACGTCAAGACGACTTGAACGTCTTGAAATAACGTTAAAACAGTTGTGAACAGCTAATTCTTTGATGTGGCCCACTGTGCAGCGGCGACTTTTACGCGCTGTGATTGGTAGTCAACGCTACCATGGGAACTCGTGTCATGCGTCACTGCATCCCCTAAACGGCACTTTTACTGTGACCATAGTATCAACAAACAAAATTTTGTAATTTCTGTTTTATACAGCTGTTTGACAAAAACTGGCACAAAGTCAGTATCGGAGCATTCGGTGGCAAACTGATGGTCCACATCGACTGCGAGCACGCTGGCACCCTTCCCACCCGACCCCGAGGACCGATTAAAGTGGATGGGAAAATCTCAATATCGAAGGTGTCCCACACCACGCTCACTCTACCGGTAAGTTTGATCATCGCGCGTTGTGCAGTCGAGATGGGGCGATAGGATCTGTAGCGATGTTAACAGGGTATCCGGAGTATTCATTAGTCAATTTCAATCGACGACGCAATTACCGGGTGTCTTAACGTAGATATATTGCCCACGGGATACACTGTACCATGTTTATAGTGGCTCCAGTTTAATTACGAAAACAGCCAGCATTTTTGTCGATCATTGGCGGATTACATAGCAATGCGTTTTTAGCGTGGTATGGCGTAACATGTAATGTGACTTTCATTAGCGATAAAGTGTGTCACAAATTACTTGATCGTAGGTGGTTGGATTTCGTGCTTGGTTATGCTTAGTCAGAAGGCCGAAAATAGAGTGATTTTTCAGAATCCTTTTCCCAAAAATTGCATGACTTTTTTTTTTTAAAAATATTGTCGTATTTGAAATAGTGTATTTTAGAGAGTATCTCGTAATTTTTCATTTAAAAATATTTTTAATAACGAAGTTGTATCCAATCTCCTTGAGGTCCTATCTAAAAAAGGTGTTTTGCGGTGACCACTGCTGCTCGGTATGGAATCATCTGAAATTAAAAATTCAAAAAGATTTATTTAACATATTAATTATCCAGTCGTTGAACGAAGGACTTTTGGAAATATTGATTTGGGACAAAATGGCCGATGTTTTAAGGTAAAGTAGCGATTTCTGACAAAACTTCGCCCATTTTTGATCAATAAAAACATAAATATGCAATGAAAAAAGTGCTTCCTTCAAAGACTAAATAATTTAATAAATTAAATATATCTGTTTGAATTTTCAATTTCAGATAATCCATCACCGAGCAGTAATAGTCATCGCAAAACGCCTTTTTTTGGGAGGACGCCCGAATGATTGCCCACAACTTCGTTATTGATAAATATTTTTAAATAAAAAAATTATGAGATGTTCTGTAAAATACGCTATTCCAGATACGGTAATAGTTTTTGAAAAAGATCTTACAGTTTTTGGGAAATAAATCCCAAAAATCACCCCTTGAAATAAAAAAACTAAATTTTTTTTCAAAACTTACAGGTGTGGTTATTGTGTCAAACACTTTTATTAATAAATAATGAAAATTCGTTGATTGGTACCTGTTCTTGTCAAAGTGATCCAAAAATATGTAATATTTTCATGTAAAAAATCTGAAATAGAAAATATATTTCTTAACCAAAACTTCCGAATCTGCTTGAAATGATAACCAATTCTATAAGTTTTAAGAAAAGATTGACTAGTTTATTTTAGATGAGTGGATCTCGAAATATTAGGTACACCACTTAGGCACCTGTTTTTTTCACGTCACAATCATAGCAGATTTATGCATTAATAATATATAAAAATTTTGTTCATATCTTAAAATGTATATTAATAAACCTCAGACTGATTATTTACTCCCTCACAGAATGCGGAATTAAAATTAAGCAATGACTATTATAAATTTTACGAAAAACGAGGAAGGATTACATTTTTATTTGATAAAAGATTAACAATTCATTCTTGAAAAGGTTAATGTTATTAAAAACATAAAAATTGTCAAAAAATAATAAAATTCATAAACAAGAAAAATTAAAGAAAAAAAATAATTTTAAGAAATTCAATTGATTTCAGTGTGGTATTTTTCAAAGCAAGGTACCATAGTACAAGAAAAATTAAAGAAAAAAAATAATTTTAAGAAATTCAATTGATTTCAGTGTGGTATTTTTGAAAGCAAGGTACCATACAAAATGGCACTTCGCTGGTCATCCACCAATATCGTCTTTTTATTTATATAAATATTTAAATACCGAATCAACTGGTTAATAAAAGATGAGAATAAAGGTACAACCCTTTCCGTCTCCGTAGCTGGATATCGGGATCCCGAGCCAATAACGTTCGAGTTTTGCCGACCCGATCCGAAGTCGGGTTGCCCGCCCATGCTCAGAGTCCGAGTCGAGTCTCGGGATCCCTAATAAGTATTCCGTCATAGACTAGGAACGACGGCTATAGAATCAGACGATACCGTTAACTTTTATTACTTTACTTCCTCTGTACGTTCATTTTAGACTTTTTCGACATCGACTACTTTAAATTTAGATTTTGTTACTATAGAGGAATAATTTACAAAAGACCCGAACATTTGGTCTACAGTCGGCCACGTGCGCACGGTAAACTTGGGACCCGTCCGTGTCGGGCCTTACCGGGACACGCAGACAATGCGGCCATAAACCTTACAGAAACCAATTGCAAGGTTATATGTATAGGTATATATCAGAGCAACTTGGGAGACTCTCGAAAATTCGTCGCGGTCAAGTCGCATCGTGACCACGTGTGCGATATTTCTGTGGCATCCGCTTCGCCTTGGAGGATAGGTTTTCCACCTCCACGTCACTCAGGAAAACCCAAGAATTTGTCTCCCCATATCAGGACGCAACCATTTAAGAGGCGAAATATGGTAACGCCTTCGGCGGACTTCGAACAAAAGCGACGCCACACGTAACTCGAAGATGCATTTGTTCGAAAACACTCTGAAACACACATTTGTTTAAAAAGTCTCGTCCATTCGATCATTCGACAAGTAACGTTCGACAAGACTCGTTCATAGTAACTCACGATTCGTCAGCTCCAATGGTCGAGTAATCATACGATTCATTCTCAGTTACGAGAAAATTAAAACAGTTGCTTAATATTAATTTGGCGAGCCTGTGATTTACAACCTCAGACGGATTCAAAAGAGAACCCCCGTGAACGGACGCGACACCAAAATTTTCAGGATCCCGAGCAATTCGGGAGTACCGAGTTCTCGCCCGATCCCGCCCGAATGTTTCCGACCCGGCCCGAAGCTCGGGTTCCTGCGACACGGGACGATCCGCACATCCCTAACCAGAACCGTGCTTACGTACCGATATCCGTAACAGTTACAAAATGATTTCCGTTCTTGTAACAGTTTCAACGGAGGGAGCTCTCGACTTATTGTCATTTTATTTGCCTACAACCCCGACGAAGGCAATACTGTAAGAGTCCATTGTATTTTGAGTATTATTTCTTTGGCCAGATTTGAAATACAGAAATAACAATATAATTCATTATTTGAAATTGTTATTATTTCAAATGAATCGATAATATTTTTATTTACAAATAACAATACTGAAAATAATGTTCCGAAATAAATTATTTCAAATAGTTGTTTCCTATTTTTATTTCAAGTAAAATTTGCCTAAGTTTGACTAGGAGACACTCTGTTTCGAATGTATAACGTACGAATATTAGAGTGTTGGAATACCAGAAGTGCTACTATATGTTTATACTAAATAAGTAGTGGATAATAAAAGTACGAAGAGGTCATAGAGCTATAAAGTGCGTTAGAGTTTCACAGAAAAATTTAATGAATGAAGCTTCCGAGAACCTGGTGTATCCAATTTTTTGCAAAATTGGGATCTCAACACATACAAGTATACATATGTATAACTGCACGCGTTTTTCGTAGAAGCCTACGACACATCGACGGTGGACGCTCGCGGTTGTCCATGCGTCAAATTTATCTGTAGCATGCCGCAATTAAAAGGCACTTAATTAATAAACACTTTGTAATGAACAAGGCTGAGACGTAACTGGGACAAACTAGATTTAGTGCAGCACTCGAATAGTACAAGCGTAACACGCATACAAAAACGTGGTGACGCTATTATTAGCCCAGTTTCACGAATAAGCCACAAGAAAGTAAATATAACGATGTGGAAAGTATCAGTGCCACGATGACGTGACAGTCAGCTTATGAAAATGAAAATTTCGACGAATAACAGATTTTATATTATCATAATTGTTTTCATACATCTCATTTGGAATGTTAAGCCGGATTCACACTAGCAGTCACTATTGTATTTTATAGACTTCCATAGGCTGTAAATGCATAAAATCCCAAGTCTAGTCATCAGTTAGATGACCTATCATTTCTCCTTGAAAAATATTGTACTTCTCTTTCAATATTTTTCTTTTCGAAAATTTACTTATTCATAGACCTAATTTTTGTCATTTTTCTTGCTACAATCAACAATAAATAATAGATTTATAATATAGTAATTTTTGTACTTAGCTGTACTAGCTCATCTATAACTTGACCTGTGCTACGCTAAAATGAAGAAAATGTGAAAACTATCAGAAAAATTAGTGTAATGGTTGAAATTAATGGTTACCAACGTATTCGCCTTGCTATGACAATAATAAATGAATATGAACAAAAATGAAACCCAATGTCTCTCTGCCATGTTGAATAAAGAGTCTTTCAATTAGAAGTGTTTCTAAAATTTGTATATGTAGTTATTGTAAACAGTTCATCTCTTCAGAAAACAATTAATTTAGATAACTGATAATATAAAGGTGCCAACACCTTACGAAAAAATTGCTTTGAGGCAAACCGTGCATAGTTCTGTTATTATTCTCGGGAGTGTTAATGAACGCTTAACAAATTCCTGAGCAAGCATTCGTACCCTCTCAAGGATTGTCATTAACCCTTTGAGTGTTTCGCCCGCACATTGTACAGTCAACGTAATAAGATCCAGGTTCCAGAGCATTTAGTCCATACATGTACAGACAACGTAAAAAGTGCCAGAGCGTTTACTTTATACGAGTTTATTTATTAGAGATTATTAACTTATAATAGCCAGTTTATAAGAGGTGAATAAATACCTTTAAAAATTAAACATATAAATAATTTACTCTATAAGAAGTTCAGATAGAATAATACATGTAAAGACGAATAAATGAATCAAATGTTTAGAAACGAAGGTATTTTTCTGCTCACGAACTCACAATCAGTTTGTTCTTGATCGTCAAATGAATCGACAATGTAGTTTCATTTCTTTCAAGTATTTTGTTTACAACATTTATAATGAGTATCCTTAACAAAAATGAATACTCTATTGTCTAGTTTTCAATATATCTGTTTTAAAATGTACCATACAAAGAAATATTAAAACATTTTTTTTAAATTATTAAAAATTAGGTAAGAAAAAATAAAAAACTACACGCGTAGAATATATTTCTATGTCATTTAAAACAGTTACAAGCAATTTAAGTCATAAAAACGTGGACATTTTTTTAACACATTTGGTTATTTCGTGAGCACTTAAAGGGTTAATGATTACTTTAGTTACCTTAAATACTGAAACATTAAAATGTAAATTAGTGAGCCATAGACTTTCAACTTTTGTTTCGTATGTGTATACATATACACGTATAGTAGTAGGTACTACAGGCCTTACGTTTCCTAAAGTTGAAAAAGTTTGCAGAATGTATTTTTATTTACACGAAGTATGGATGTTTAATAATCTTACTTCTTTGAATTAATTTTCAAACAATCGTACTTTTAATTAATTCCATAAATTAATTTGTTTATTTCCTACTTACTTATTACGTTACTTTCCCCTAAGATGATTTCTCCATTAATTTCTTAACTTGTATAATTAAGTTGTCGTCTCCGATAATTTGTAATATTTTCTTTTTAACAGTAAATTAAATAACAGATTTGAAATAATTATATTTCGATGTACTATACAAACATACTTGTCCTAAACGATTAAAAAAATTATAACAAAGTACAAGTAGTTGAAACATAATCGTAATCATTAAAATTGCACACAGAGGATTAATAATATTATAAATAAACATAATACAAAATAGTTAATCCAAAGAAAAGGCAAACTACACGTGAGTTCTATTTGTTATTTATTACTACTAATTGTTTACAATAAATTCGACTCTCATTGCCATTTCTGTTTCCTCTAAAACGGTTTTCCAGATCGATATACAGTGGATGGTCTTGAACTGTAACCCCGCTAGACCAGAACGCGAAACCTGCGAGGAACTACCGGTAAGTCTATACATTTTACACAACTTCGTAATCCATTAAGACCCCGCGGCTGTAATTAACGTAATTGCAGAAGAGCCTGAGCAGCCCTTTATTACCTCTGAGACGACCCGGCTGCGAAATTATCTGTCCACAGGGACCGCCAGGAATTAATGGCACAGATGTGAGTCAGGGAATTTCCTTCATCAATAAACAACCTTCGTTCAATTGAACAGCAATTACTATTTCCAAAGGAATACCTTCCCCTCTTTTCGTAGCAAATAATTGACTCCTTAATAAACGCTTGTGATTATCGTGCCTATTTTCGAGACTATAACGTCAGCGTCATCATAAAAGACTTTGTTCGCTTAGGGATTAGCTGGTTTACCCGGGCTACCTGGACCATCCGGCCAAACGGGAGAGCCCGGTCTACCTGGACGACCGGGATTACCTGGCCTACAAGGAGAAAGGGGCAAGACAGTGCGTGCTCGTAAACGCTTTATATTTTACGATGCATTGCAATACATTTAGTTTTAACTTTATGTCACATTATTGTCACAAATTTACCAGGGCCCGCAAGGATTAACCGGCGCACGAGGTTTCCCTGGGCCTCATGGCCCTAAAGGACCAATTGGGCTAACTGGACCTCCTGGGCCAAAAGGAGAATACGGTGAACGGGTACGTTTATTAATTTATCTTCTTTTTGTATTTTGCCTGTTGTTTGACTTGATTGCTCTTTTTCGTCCATACACTCCCTTTCATCGTCCTTTTTCTTCTCCATAAACTCATTTATCCCGTGTACCTCACCATTCTCATGGTACACCCTTAATATTCTTGGTCTCCTTCCTTTATTAGCTTGCTTAACATTTTACTATGGTTTTGTCCCGCTACTCTGTTTCGGTCAGCCATATTCCCATTTTCATAACCTTCATTTTTATCTGAAATTTCACCTTGTTTTATTCGGTTTGACTCAAACTTCTTTCTTAATCTTTATTCCGTTATTTTAACCTATTTACTCGGCAAGACGAGTTAACTTATTATTTATACTTTTCATTTTTCTATTCATTTACGTAGGGGATTTCTCATTTCATCAGATCGAAATGTTTGTATTAACACACGTTACGTCTTATATGTGTTTCTTGTAGGGCAAAATGCATTCAGGTTGTTTATATACGTCTTTAATTCTGCTTATGCGAACATCGAGGTTCGAAAAATTACTCAGTTAACAGGTTAATTATTTAAACTACTTCCCGCCTATAATTAGCCTATAGAGCCTGCACAATTTCCTCTGTTTTACTGTTTTCAGACAGTTTTTTCCATCCATTCATAAATGAAGAGTCCAAGGGAAGAACGATCATAGTTAGAAAAAGTAAAACTTCCAGTATTTCAGCAACAAACATTGTGTACCCCCCCCCCCACTTTGCGCCATAAAAAATTTAATATTTTTCTTTTTTTATAAGATTTTCTGGGTATATTCATACAGTCTGTGACAGTAACATTTGTTTTCATATTCAGGACTTTGATATAATGTCATTTTAATAAAAAAGTGATGGACTCTGATCAGTTTTCCTTAGGAAAAAAATTATTTTTGCTGATGGGAGTAAAGATCATACTGGCAATGGTTCTAAGGTTTCTAACACAAAATAAAGAAAATGATAAAAAAACGTGTTATGCAGTTAAAGTGTGATAAAACAAAAGAAACAGAAAAATACCCCACCTCGTTGAACTTTGATCATTCTTCCGTTGTAGAATTCTGACATTGATTGTTCTTCTTCGAACCCAGGATTCTTTGATTCATTAATTTTTCTGGGTCAGCTCCGTTTCTCCTTCTTATTCTACTACAGTTTGATAACTTTGTTTAAGCTGTAACATATGCTACTGAAATCTCAATTTTCATTTAGAATGGACTATGATCGTTTTTCCCCTGGGCTCTTCAAATGCATCTGCTCGCATGCAACCTCCCGTTCCACGCCTCAGACTTATGATATCATTGTTGTCAACGTCTCCAAACAAACTAATCAGTGTATTCACGTTTCTTTTGCTCCCAATAGGGGGACATGGGATTTCCTGGACTGAAAGGGGACCAGGGTCTTCCAGGACCACGTGGCCATCCTGGCGTACCCGGCCCACCGGGAAATATTAGTGACTATCGTGCCGTTTTATCACGATTCGTTGGACCGTCGGGTCCTCAGGGGTATCCGGGTGAGAAAGGTTCAAAGGGCGAGTCAGGCGTGGATGGCAACAGAGGAGAGCAAGGTCAAAAAGGTACTCGGTCGATATCTATTTTTAGGGGTCCACCTGCTAAAGATTAACAACGACCATGTCAAATGTTAACTGTTACTATTCAATACGATTAGGTTGACTTATCCGACAAGTAATCCTTGAAGTGCTGCGTAAACTAATTCAATCTTGTTAGAAATCGTGTGGAATTGTGAGTGTTCACGTGGTCGGTGGTGATTCATCGTTAAACGCATTATACTTATGTCAGCGAGCTTAAAAAGCTTAATCCCCGATTCCTTTCGCGAAACTGTGTTAATCTGTGAATTTTACCGACCTTCTGCTTGATTTATATTGACAAATATTTTTCTATATAAACACAGAAGTTTCTAGGATCTATAATATTATGCTGTCGGTTTATTTTTAGAGAGAAAGTCTAGTATTTTATACGGATAAAACGTCTTCATTGGTACATCTCTGGGGATGGGCGATAAATCATTCTCTTATCCTTCGGGTTCGTTAGTGCGCTAATTGCAATGTTGGAAAAGGTCACTGACACCGCCGAGGAAATAATTCTTCCTAATAAAGTGTGTCAACAGTCATGCATTTAAAGGTCGAGAGCAATCGTTTTAATGGCTTTAAGTGTCGAGGCATTTCCATCTACCCTATCCTTCCCTTGCCCAGATTTTTATCCTCCCATTTGAAAGAGTGACCCAAAAACGAGGGAATTTATCGCCCGTTTTTGGTCTCACGATTTTGATATGAAACTTTGTGCCAAATAATACCTTACGATAAGACATTAATCACAATAAATTTTCAAGTTAAGCTGACAGTTTCTGAGATATGGGAGGTCAAAGATGTCAAAATTCATTAGCATACGCTACGTGGACGAACTTTTATATCATTCTGATAATTTAAAGAATTGTTCCCAGTGGTTTTGCTGGCTGATAGCAACGAATTTGAACTTGAATTTTCAAAATTCACAATGGCCGAGACAATATGGTGGACGAACAGTGAAAATCATCTAAACACCCTCTGTTTTATTACAAATAAATAAATATAGTACACCAGTAAAAAAAATGTAGGTGACCTTGAAATCTCCAAAAGTTCTCCACTTGGAAAAGAATTATTACTTGCACGTTACGGGTTACGGGCTCTTCTTTACCATACAACTGACGAAGCCACGGTTACAAATTGCGGAGATATTAATACCAAAAATATGCATTATTGGGTAAAAGAGAATCCACATTGGATTTATGAAATTGACCACCAATACCGGTGGAAAGTGAATGTTTGGTGCAGCATAATTGGTCTTCATTGAAGAATCACCAACAGATTAAACATACTCTACATTTTTGTTCAAAACACTACCAGGTCTATTAGGAAATGTACCGTGTCTAATGCGTCAAATAATGTGGTATCAACAGGACGGCTGTCCAGCACATTATACTCGACAATCCCAGTAAATATTAAATAGAATGTTTCCTAATCGTTGGATCGGATGTGGCAGTAACATTCCTTGGCCAGCTCGCTCGCCAGATTTAAGACTTTGATTATTTCCTTTGGAGAATATTAAAAAATGAAGTTTATTGCGAGCCATTAACGACGGCCGAAAATATGCAACAACGTATTATTAGTGCATGTGCTGCAATAACTGCAAAAACACTAAAAAAAGTTTACGTTCACTCATAATCCGATTACGCAAGTGCATTAACTATAATGGACAACACTTCGAACCCTATTTGGTGTAATACTTTTTTACGCAGAATTTTCTGCTTTATCCGAATTCGAGAAAAAATATTGGGCATTCCATTTAAAAAACTGAAGATAACCCTCATATCTCGATGAAAAAGCAATGTAACAAAAATCAGATTGCAGCATTGTATGTCCTCCTGGAAACCACGCAACAAATAACTTACGAATTATTTGAAATCGCCACGAGATTCACCCTGTATATGTATGCATAATCCATGAAGCGATTATTCTAATGCTTAATGGTAGATGACACGGAGGCAATATGTTGCTAGACACATCGACGTCGACCTAGATACAGCCATTCAGAATGATTGTAAATCAATTTGTTGCAATCTGCCGCAATGCCCGTAAACCAATTCCTTTTATTAATCACTGAATGTATGCCGTTCTCGTGATAGAACCGAATAGCGGCTCTGAACACGAATCTAATTGCTGGCGCTTGAACATACCGTCAATGTATGCACTATTAGAAATGATTGGTAAGAGCTGAACAATTAATATTTTGAGGAATGAAGAAAGCTATGCATCCCTGGCATCGGTGATTTGTGCATTGTAGAACACGTTAGAAAATTATGAATCTTGTTCTACGAAGCGTTAGTACGATATCAGAGAATTCGATTATTAACATTTTTATTCTTATCGAACTTCATCGTCAACGTAAACTGGTAGAACTTAGCATGGAAGGGGCTCTGAATTCATTGCCATTTGATTCCCCTAATGTTAGAGTCCACTACATATGTTACCGTGCCCTTCTTGTAGAATTAAAGTGTACATGTCAAAAGGTAAAAAGTTACCAATAGAATAAATTCTGTTTCACCGTAGGAACAAGTTCCTTAATAAAACAAGTATAGTTGTACAAGTAAATTTTACAAATTACAAATCAGCTCATTGTCGTATTTCACGTTTTGAGGTTACGTGCACCTTGACAGAAGCGAATTATGTATCCATTAATATAGCTGAGTACGTCTTCTTTTATTGAAAATGAGTAAACGAGAAGATCAATGCAAATGTACGTGCTTACGAAATTAAGGAGCACAAAAACGCATTATTTTTACAATTTAGCAATAAATAGCGAGAAAAGAAAATTATCAATCATCCCAGACAGCAAAACCTGCAAAGCCAAATTTTGCCCAATGCTGGTCATAAAGTCTTGGCTACAAGTTTGATGCAAGATTTGCTTTAAACAATTTGACGCATGTTATGTTGCAACACATGCTGCCAATTTGCTTTACAATTTTGTCAGTTGACGTTGCCTGCAAAACCCATGTCAAATGCGGCAACACTACACTGCATACACTTGTACCAAAGATTGCTTGTATAATATCCAAATAAGTATGTGTCTGCGAATTGCTAGCAAGGAAAAAGTTAAAGTAATTCGCAATTTTGAAACAAAGTAGCAAGAGTATTTCAGAAAATTGTATTTGCATTACAATTATCATTATCGTAGATACAATCAGGTGGTAAGTGACGATAGTGTAGATTAAATAGTACTTCCTAATAACTAAACTACGTGCTATGTATAACTAAACAAGTGTAAAGGATTCTAATTATTATTCGCAATTACATTTACATTAAAGGTGAGTTAGGAGAAAGAGGCCTACCGGGCAAAGACGGAACTCCTGGAGCAGATGGAAAGCCAAGTACTCCAGGGTACCCTGGTCCAAAAGGAGCAACAGGTTTGTCAGGACTCCCAGGTCAGCAAGGATCACCTGGCCTCCGAGGTGAAACCGGAGCACCAGGGCCACCTGGATCTCAAGGGGAAAAGGGGGAACCTGGAGAATGTGGACGTGATGGTGCGTAAATTGGACAGTGGTGTTTTCATACCAAGCAATAACCTAATTAATTATTTCATCTAGGTATACCCGGTATTGGTACGGTAACACCAGGATTACCTGGCCCTGAAGGTTCTCCTGGCACACCTGGAGAAGATGGTTTTCCAGGACCTAAAGGAGAACCAGGTCCTGTTGGCCCACCAGGTCTTCCGGGAATAGGAGGAAAAACTGGTCCTCCAGGTTTTCCTGGAGTGCAAGTAAATCCATATTATCACAACCATAAAATAATACCTATACAACGCTCACTTTATTTAGAAACGAAGTGGTTCAGCTTTCTTTTATTTTATTCTTATATACATATAGGGTCCACCTGGTCCAGCAGGAGATATAGGTCCACCAGGACATCGGGGGATTGATGGTTCGTATGGACCACCAGGTCTTGATGGAAAACCAGGTAGTAAAGGTGAAAGAGGTCAACGAGGAGAACAAGGACCTATTGGACCAAGGGGCTTACCCGGAAACGGCGTGGGTTAATTTGAGTTTATTGTTAAATAGCGTAGACACGTGTATGACATAAAAATGGAGTTTATTTGACAGGGATCTCCTGGTATACCAGGAATCGCTGGTTTCCCGGGATTAGAAGGACGACCTGGTCCACCAGGCCCTCCTGGTCCTCCTGGACCAACCGGTCCTGCGAGTCCGACAGCAAACATATTAAGCGCAACCGATGTCTTGAAAAGTATCGGTAGTCCAGGAGTTAGTGGACCCAGAGGTGTGCCAGGGTCCTCGGGGCTAGTAAGTGACTTAAGTGTTACTTTGCACTTTTAAATGAGTTTCGCTGATATCTTCACGATAATATATTACAATAGTGTAAATTTTGATAACATTTTTTAATATCCAGACACAGTTGTTATACATGTTCATTAACTGAATCTTGAAAATTGGTTATGTGTAATTTATTATTCCGTATTAGCCAGGCAAAAGCGGACCTCCTGGTGAACGTGGTCCAGAAGGTCAAATCGGACCACCGGGAATGCCGGGAAAGGACGGGGCGCCAGGATTACAGGGGCTACCAGATTTATTTCTAAGAAATTGCTATTCGATTAGTTATTCTAAAATTTAGTACCTACGAACCCGGAAGCACAGTCAGGTGTGTTACGTAAATGAGACAAACATTTCAGTTCTCCTGTCGGCTATAGAAACAGCTCTCTCGTAAAAGATGATTGACGCAATGTCTCTGTGTAAAAAATAGAAAGATAATTCCAGCTTTTATTGGCACATACCGTATACAGAGCAGATGACAGAGGTGTCAGCACTGATGCAAGGTCCACCTGGTCCACCAGGCCGAGGCCGTCCAGGTCGTCCTGGATCACCTGGTCCACAAGGTCGCCCAGGTACACCATCGTACAAAGGAGTTTAGCAATGTCATTTGCCTGCATTTAATCACATAACTGTAGAGAATGGCGGTGCTGTGGGTTTTTGGTATTATTTAGCGGCGAATAAGACCGCCATAAAAGAACCCATCGTTAAACGTTACGAATAATCATAGCGAACATCTCAATGATCATCGTCGTCATCGTTCCGCCATGAATTGCTTGAAATTCCACGTTCACCTTAATTAGAGCCGGCATTCATCCAGTGGCGTGACTCACGTACACATACATGCGGATGCGCGCGTCCACTCGATTAACAATCGATCGATCGATCCATCGATCGAGGATTAACATCTCACGTTGCCGTGTGCCGATAAAGACGATGGAATCCTGCATGTGTCACAGAGAGGCTGAAAGAACTAACAGAGGGTCTTCGAGGGCCACCCGGGTTGCCAGGGCTGGCCCGACAGGGCCGTCCTGGTCGAGCCGGAACCCAGGGCATCCCAGGTACCTATAAACGCAAGCCTTCCAAGATGTTCTTCCCGCATTCCTTTTGTTCTAATTTAACAAATTTCACATTACACAGGGTGTACCGTAATATGTGTGCTACTGCTGACAAGAAGTTTTCAATCAGATGAACGAATATAACTATTGTAGTAATTATATACATAAATATTAAAAATAGAACATACTGTTGTATATGCACAAATGAAATAACATAGAACAATCGATTATATTTTGAAGAATTATTAACAAAACAATCAATTCATTCGCTGGTTTGTTAAACGTGGTGAGACATAATGTTGTCTATTATGTAGGAAGATAATGACAGGGATTCGAACCTTAATGTCTGGAAATAATTAAATACTTTCCTCGGTCATTTTTTATGAATTATTCAAAAGTACAATTTTCTGCATTTGAGGAACAAGATCAAATAAGATACATATATTTTTATTAAGATTCTTAAATGTTAAGTTTGTCGCTAAAAACACACATATTTCGAGAAACCCTGTATTTATTTTGTTGCCGTGTTGCATACGAAATGACAATTATCAAAAGAAATTTTTTGCAACTGTAATTCGTAATGAATTGCAAATTCGGTACATTTATCGCATACGTGACCGTATTAATCATCATAACATACGAATTCCGACAAAGCCTAATAATATCTTTATTCTATTTTATTTCTCATTGAATGTAATCCTTAACAGAAGAAATCAATTTCTCTTTAATTGAAAGGGGTATACGGTTATCATGTAGACGGTTAAAATGAATGGGTTCTTTTAGGTTGGATTCAAGAGCAACTAATAACTTGAGTCATTACATTTTTTAATTCTTACTGTGGATATAACATTCTAAAACCAAAAATCCTGCAAAATATTAAAAATGTAGTGAATTGTTGTAGATGAGTATTCTCTGACTTAAAATCAACAAGGTGAAACTCGTTCATTAAGATCGTAGAACTATGGAAGATATTATTCAACATTTTTTAAAGAACTATTTCAGGAAAAATGTACGAAGTTAATATTTCTTGCATGATTTTGCGAATTTTTATTGAAATTTATAAACAAAGTTTTACCTTGTAGATTTTGAGTCAGAGAATACACGTTTACAACGATTTTGTTTTCAGCGCAGCGGTCACTTTGACGATTCCTACTTTTCTTAATTTTTAATATTTTGAAGGTTTTCTGGCTTTAAATACGTGTTATATCTGCAGTAAAGAATTGTAAATCGTGCAAATGGTTTCAGTTATTATTCGTTGTTCAATCCAACCGAAAAGAAAGCGTTCATTTTAGCCGTCTAATATTTATGTACCACCTTAATAAAGTAAGACATAAATTTGGCTGGACAGTGCAGAGTAATAATTTATGTAAAATTATAAAAATGTAAATACTAGATGTACTTAACAATGCATGGCTTTGGCTAGTAAAATATGGATTACAAGAACAAAAATTACGTTTCTCGATAAACAAATTCTAATAATTACATTTATTTTGTAACAATGTAGGTGATCCAGGCCCCTCAGGTCTGCCGGGAGAACGCGGCTTCCTCGGATTACCTGGACCACAAGGCCCTACGGGCCCTCAGGGTGCATCCGGTGAACGGGGGGAGAAAGGTGATAGAGGACCGGAAGGCGTTGGCGTGGAAGGGCCAGTGGGGCCAAGAGGATTGCCTGGTAGTGCAAAATGTTTTTTCTTCGTGGCTAACAGTTATTATATTTACAATTTTTGTTTACGACGAGGGTACATGTTAATAGGACCACCTGGCAAAGATGGCGTCGGATTGCCTGGCAGGCAAGGAGAACGGGGGGAACCGGGCAGACCAGGTAAGGAGAAAAAAGTTGCAAACACGTTTTTAAGACCTGGTACTGGTATTTTTAGTTTCGTTTATCGACAGGTCTTCCTGGGATGAGAGGCCCGCCTGGACCGCAGGGATTACCCGGGTTTTGCGAATTGTGCAATTATCCAAGCACCAATTACTTACAGTACACTCGCGGCAATGAAAAGGGACCTTAAGCTAGAACTGCATTTCCATGAGCATAGAAAGTACATTCAAGGGGGTACACCACTTTATAGGCCTGAAAAAAGTAGGTCCATTTAAACTTGTTTTCCTCAGATAATTATTGGGTAAAATATTAGGATTTTTTAATGTGGACTTAGGCAACATATCTTTATTTTCATACATTAGTAATTATTTAAAAGGACAAAACGGCGGAGTTATACAACATTGTCTACCGTCGTGATGTATCCCCTTGGTGATTTATGTGTCCGCGAACGGTGAACATTTCTGTTCCATAATAGTTTTAAAAATCTTTTCAAACACTGCCATATTGAGACAATACTCTATCAGTAAGATGTATTTAAATATGATGATAATCAATGGACTTTGTTACTATTTAATATGTACAGTGATTTATCTTCGTTTGGCGTATGCTGGGTCCATTTGTACCTATCTATGCCTATGCACGTTATCGATCATATAACATAGTATTTAATATACAAAAACATAATTAGATATTTTTGTAATAATTACGGTGTGCATGAGACCCAATTCGTAATAAAAAATAATAAATTTTGTTTAGTTACACTTTATTACTTTATTATATTTAACGTGTGCTGTTACACCTTCGTTTACTTTAGAATCGTCGGATGCCACAACCTTTTTCGGCCTGCTGCGACCACAATTTTAGAGTGACCAACAATTAAACAAATTAATTTTAAAGAGGACCGAGTATGGACGTATTTTTAAAAAATTGCTTAAAATATGACATAGGGGTCCAGTTTGCAAAACAATAACACTGTTAAGATTTTTTTTTGCAAAAATAACTTTACATATAAAACAAAAAATTAGTTAAAAAGAACGATCCTTTACGATTATAACGAAAAAAGAAACAGATGCGTATCTTTAATAGTTGCAGAGATAAAAATTCTTTTGTGAAGGTAATTTTTCATAAAAATCAGTGGAAATTGCCATCCTTGAAAGTCTTTATCTTTTAATCAATTTCGAAATCAACGAAACGATGACTTAATCCCCGCACACATACTTCAATTTGAGCAAAATCCCAGACATCGTGTACAAAAATGATCCGCTTGGCTTACAATTAAAATGACTCATATCTACAATCTAATTGTTGTCTTTTAGCCACAATTGTTTTCAGTAGTAAAATAAATTTGTAATTGAACTCAACTACAAACTTTATAACACGGTTTTGAGGAAGACGTATTTAAAATCTACATTCTTTACATATTATAGTTCACATACTATTAACTATTCGAGGCTCATACTATAAACACTTTGCTTACTGAAACCTATATTCTCCCGGCTGCCCATTGGAAAAGACATTTTTAAATAACTCGTACATGATATTAGTATTTAATTTCAGAAATAAAATGTAGTATACGATGTTCATGTGTTGCATTACAAACAATCCCATTGACGTCTGGGATGACTCGACTGTTCATTCATTATCTCAGTTAATTTTTATAACTTTGTAAATTGTACTAATATACATTCAACATACACCACGCTGACTAAAGAAAAAAATAATACCTGTTTTAAAGTGTTTCTGATTTCACATGCACCAACCTAAGGAGTTATTCATCATAACCCCGTAACGTCTTAATCGCAAATCGTACGACTATCGCGCGCGCAATGGTCCGATTCCTTGTTCTCCCGTTCAAAGAAGCGATGGCGCCACCAACAGCCTGCTGCCAGTCGAACTCAGTGATGGCCGCGAGGCTCGCGACATACATTACGTTTAGATTGCGCTGAGTTTGTTTATTGTGACGTTCTCGTGGCAGAAAGTGTTCCGTGGCTTCCGTCCAAAGGTGACTGAACGTGGACACGTTCCCGCGCAAGAAATTCGCTCGAATGAACCGTATCCGCCGGAACAGCCCGTAGAAATAACGCGGTCGGTCTTCTTGACAGTTCTGTCTCGTGTTTCATGCAGCAGTAGCCACTCGAGTGCCGTGAGAAGTGTAGTTTCCATCGCCACTTAGCTGACTTTCTCGGAGCATCGGCGATCCTAATGATATCGTGTATGCGATAGAACGATACGAAAGGAGCCTTTGTCGACACGGGGACGGCGACCCCACACTCGTCACCACTTTTTTTTCTCTTTCTCTCCCTCACCCCTTTCTGGAGGACACGCGCATCGAAAGCGATCGAGGTATGTACACACACCGGCAGGCCAGGTTAGGTGTATCGTCGTGTCTCGTGACGGCGTTACGGACGAATTCGATCTGAATTGCATCTGATTTGCACGCGTGCTTTCGACCCTTTTTTAAATACAATAAGAATGGATATCGAAAGCTTAAATGTACAGAATAAATTCCCTGGCAACGGGAGGAGTTTAAATACTCTTCATCTGGCAGTGGTCGGTCAGATCTACTCACCTATTTTACCGCCGGTGATAGTTAATATCGAGGCGTGAGTGAAACATAACTTGAATGAATGATAGAAACATCTGAAATTTATCACTAAATATAAATATTATGTTGTTCTCCAATGTAGAAAATAATAGGCACAAAAGTGGCTGAATGCGAATTGTGCTATTTAGAGTTATAGTACCGGTTATGTAGGTATGGTTTCACAGACCTTAATGCCTGGACATTTCGTTGCTCGTGAGTCGTTCCCTTATTTATTTACCGTTATGGTGTAGGTATTATAACGGCAACGATAAGTCCCGGCAAATAAGATTAACTACATGTGCGTCTAATGTAATATAACGGACAACGTCCCGCCGAGTAGTACGTCCTATCTGGCAAAGGAAGTGTTTGTTCCTCCTCCCCAACCCCCCGGTTAAACGGTGTTCCACTGACACGCGTTGCTTCCTTTACTCGGCACAGGTCCAAAACATTATTCTCGATTGATTCGTAGTGGTCGTGTACCATTAGTAAAAGTTACCCCAATTCTGCGGCGTAGACCATGGACATAGAAATGTAGACTGCGCATCTCCCTGAAACGGGCATTCCAAGTTTAGGAAGATGTAGATAGCTTTCGGAGGACTTTGCATCTCTTTTTAAATCTAATAATAAGTAATGGGGGCTGAGGTTCTGAGGATTTGGATCTTAAGTGGTTGACTGAGCTATATTAGAAAGAGATAGCAAGTCCTCCGAAAGTAACCCGTCTCTTTCTAAAGTTGGGACACCGGCCCAGCCTGACACGCAGTCTATATTTCTATGTCTATGGCATAGACTGACATATCACCGCATAATCATTTAAATCGATCTATAATCCGATCATATATTATTTAACTCTCATGACATCTTCAGTTATTGACACATATTCTTGACGTTGATACATAGCTTGGAGACCAGAGTACGGTCATCTTAGGCGTATAAATTTCGAAATCGTATAATACGTTGTTATAAACAGACCACGTTCAATGACATTTTTAATTCAGGATCATTGTTAATCTTCACTCGATCGTGAGTGACAATCAGTTTCCGTTATCTAGATTGAGATTGACCAGAATAGAGTTCGATTATGACGAATCCAAAATTGACCGCGCCTTTTGTCGCTCCGTTTCGCGCGTTCCTTTGTACGCACCGAAACTGTCCCACATTCCCGACCGTTCCTCTGTCTCCTCGGGCGATCTTATACACCCCCACCTGGCCCACTTATTGTATTGATTCAAACTTAGGCATCCACACGTTCCTTATACCTTCGCAACTTCCTGCCCGAGGATCTTCCTGCGTGTCGCTGCCTGACTATTCCTTCCGGCAATTTGTGCGTCACAAAGACGGTAATTTCGTCGGGGGAAATGTACTTAGAGAAAATGAAAGACCCGTAAACTTGGGGACTTGATATATACCTGGAAGGATTCCTTGTGTTGGCAAAGACACTCTTCAGTTCTGTTTACCCGTTTCATTTCAACCACTCAACAGTCTCTCATGTTATTCATTGTTTATACCAACATTTAATTGATTCAAATATAATTAAGTATTTTATACAATACGTTTAACTTATTATGTCGTTGCGTATGAAGTCTTGGTTTTTTAAAGGCGCTTTATATGTATATCATTGAACGTCAAAAAATTGTATTAGTATGATTATTTACATTCCACAATACAGTACATACACGATACACGTACATATTTTCATAAAATTACTATTAATGCTTATGTCCTTGGAAATAAATTATGAAATTCGGAACTAATTTTTAGAAACATTATGAATTGTGGTCTTTTTGCTTAATACTTTTTTGTTAGAAAATAATATGTACCAAGACTGTAATAAAGCTTCATAGAGTTCATTTCTTAATCGGACTTCAGAGTTTCCAGTGTCAATACATAGAGAGACTTTAGTGAAATATCATCGTAACTCATCTTTATTAATGTATTTTAAATACTTTCAAGTAGTTTTACAGGTAAATAGTGCCTCGTAAAGTACAGATTCAAGTCTCACTTAACATGCAAATGGTGTGATTACTGTTAACAACTTTTCATTCGTAAAAATGTAACCAAATGTACAATCGATCGAATGTATTGAGTTGAGGCAAAAGTTTTAATGGGCTTTGTTATCAAAGACTAGAGTAGTTTTTACTTAATAAGTCATTTCACGTTCGTAAGTTCAGAGCGCTTTAAGCCCAGTGTCTTCAATATCTTCTTACGAAAGGAAATAAAAATGGTGTGATTTGGTGATCCTACATTCACACGTACACTTCCGCTCATAAGTATTAGGACACTTATCGAATATGCAATAAATGTTACGAGGCATTACGAAATTTCTGATTGTCTTAAATAGATATTGCTTAGAGGGTATTAAAGCTTTATGAATAACGTTTATGCTACTATGGAGTAATAAACGTCATCCAAAGTATGTATGTCACCTTTACGAAACATCACATTTTCTTTATACGGACCAGGTGCCCTAATATACTTATGAGCGTAGTGTGTATTCACAATGTCTTCCACATTGTTCGAGTGTATCCGTTGCGCAAGTTAAGCGGCGTTTACACTAGGCAACATTTGGTCGGCCGAACGTGTCGTTCGACTAAAAGGTTTACACTACTGAAGGTTTCGTTGTCCGCCTTTTTTATTGGTTAAGATGGTTAATAAAAATACGCTGCGTAAAAATGTTGTACGTGTTACGTCAACAATTACAATGAGTTTGCTAGACGAGTTGAAAAAAATCATTAGTCGGAAAATTAACAGAAAAAAACGTCGTTGGTGGGTTAGAGCAAATTAATAGTCAGCGGTAAATTTATTGTCCGTATGGACTTAATTTTGTCTTTTATATTAGCAACGGTTAATCCTTCTAAATCCATTTCTTTTATTATTAATTCCATTGCGATTTTTTAAAATTTCAACTCTTGTATGCATCACTTGTACTGGTCCATAGATATTCCTGTTGTTGATAGAGGTCTGTAAATTTAGTTATATTCTGTGAATTCCAATCTAATTTAGACATTTTCGTCCGTCTCAGAGCGATGTCATGAAGTTATTAACGTTCTGTTTCAGTCGCCTGTCAACGTCAACTACGGTTTTACGGCGTTCCCACGGGCGACTTTGAATGTCTTCAAGTCGATCGACTAGGTCGACCGACCAAAAGTTGCCTACATGTAGTCCAGTCGAATTAGACTTCAAAACCCCCATTTTCAAAAATAACTCTAATTAGCTATGTCTTTGCGTTAAAATGTTCGGAAAGTCATTAGAAATGAAATGTATACGTTTAAGACTCACGAATTGTTGGGGAACATTGTTAAAAAAGTTCAAAAAGGTTTGTAAAACCAGTTTTTCGCTTACAGAAGAAAATGTAATGATTTTAGAGAAAACGGGGTCAAAAAGAAAATGTAGGTATTTCTAATACCTACAAAGTAAGATATAGCAGGTTAAAATCGGTCTACATGTTAAGTTGCAAAAGAATGAAAACTGTCAAAATAGGCGCTTTCTTGAGTTGTTTAATACTCGAAGAGATTAATTTGATCATAGAGGTTTAAAATTTTAAGAGAACATGGCCTCCGTTACGGTCATGAAGTGTGCCAAATTTCAGCCCTAAATATTTACTCGTTTTTACAAAAAGTCATTAGTTTATCCGAAATGCGTCTTCGGAGAAGTTAATTTCTATACCTTTGGCAAGTCGGATAGCAAACAGCGGGTGTGTTTTTTACAGCTTGGGAGTTGTACTATCATGTACATTTCCAGATGAAGTGAATTTTTTATATTAAACCATCCAAATAAGGCTCCAAAGAATGGGTATCTTCTTTTCTCGTAAACAATTTGTTGTTTAATTTTCTAACAGTGCGTTAGAAAATTACATAGCCACCTACGTTTTCTGGTGTAACTCGAAAAAGAAATCACCGATCCACCTCAAATTTGTTGTGTATGTAGTCTAATAGTTGTTGATAATTCCAGAATGATTCATTTACAAAACGTTCGCTCATTGAGGCACAGTAACCTCTTTCATGAATTTACCGGGTTTTCAACCGTTAGAAAATGATATAGCCAAACAAGTTTTGTTCTTCCAATTTAAAAAATGTGCAACTTTCAGACTTATCACAGTTTTATGGCAAACCGTTCTCATCAATATTATTTGTATCATTCAAAATATCATATATGAATACATAAGCTGTTATTAAGTGTTGATAATAAAGAAAGTTTACTCACTGCGATGGAATTAAGTAATTGTAACAAAGTCAGCAATAATTAAAGTAAATATAAATTTAATTTTAGACGGAGGGTAATAAAACATAGATCGATAGAATATCAAATTCTGAGTAAAAATGTGTTGACCTTCATACGTCCTAAACCTAAGAGTTAACGAGATATTTACAAAATAATCACTGTATTGAAATCGTTGTATTGAAGTTGAAGGGTATCAGTTCCAGCACTTATAGCTTTTAGATAGTAAGTACATTAAAGATTATTTTGTAAATATTTTGTAAACTCTTAGGTTTAGGACATATGAAGGTCAACACACTTTCACTCAAAATTTGATACTCTGTTGATCTATGGTACAAAAATAGGTCATTCCTTTAAAAAAAATCAAGGTCACCAAAAGAAGCAGGTACCTTATAAAATGTGCCCCTTGATGTCATTTAAGTTCAGCGCCTCAAAATTTTCATAAAACATGCCATCTTCTTGTGCATGAAGAATACCTCAACTCGAAAAAGTTAACTGGCATTGCACAATTACTTTTTAGAATTTATCACTGCAATGATTTACAGTAAAATGTAAATTTAAATATAATACATATCCAGAACAACCGCATATAAAAGTTATAACGGGAAATACCCTATTTTTTTACAATTGAAATGGCCTTATGGTGTTGATACTGTTGAGTGGGGGCGGTATAATCTCCAATAATGAAAGGACAAAGTTTATAAAAAGAAGAATTATTTATTTCAAGAGGAGGAGTCTTGACACATCCTTTGACACATCCTTCTCCTTCCAAGGTCGTACCACGACTCTGCAATGTCTATGTTGGGCGCCGTTACCAGAACGTTGCTGCCATCCCAAAGTCACTCGCTGTGACAATACACAATACGTGCTATCTATCGGGTAATACGTAACAATATTTATGTGTAAAATAATTTCAAATTGGACAATGTTATAAAATCTTTAAGCTGTCAAAAGACACCTCATGGTAGAAACAAGTACACTATATGCGCATTTTAGAAGGAGGTGGGAAAAAAAAGATACCGCTAAATTAATTTAACAATCGTTATAAGAAAAGACGAAAAGTCAACCGAGAAAAATGATTAAACTTAGAAAATAATATAAAAATTTTAAAAGCGGTCTTTTGACTACTTTGATAGAAATAGTGTTATTGCTTGGCTGACAAGGGGTTAATCGACTTATTTCTTTACGTCGATATATGCCTATTTGACGTTCGTAGTTCTACTGTTAAAGAACAAGTTTTCATAAATACTAATACAGTTAACGATCACCGATGACTAATCGACACACGGCCTTCGTTTTACGTGTAGCTCGTGTGTTGTATACGAGGTATACGCGTGATGCAAACACATCGATCTAGAGGAGCAATCTAATTGTAAGCTAGATCTTGATGCTCGTCGCGTGCAACTCTGTAAACCGTGAATCATTTCGTTGGAAATCATAATATGTACGATCTGATGATCCCGTTGTTGCCAGCGTGCAAGTTGTACTGATCCACTCTGAATCGTTGTCTCGTGCAGGTAAGATGGCGGAGGATGGCGCAGGGGGATCAGGAAACGGGAGCACGGGAGAAGCGAGCCGGTTGCAGCTTTTGCAAGAAATGCGACAGCAGAATTTCGACAGCATTCGGTTCGCATCGTATCGCACCGCCTGCAAGCTGAGATTCATTCAGAAGAAGGTTCACCGTGAGTATAAAATGAAATATACGTTGTTATCACGTCATCAGAAACACGCGGCTTGAAAGAACTTTCAGGGACTGCGATCTGCGGACGCTAACTTACAGGAGGAATACTGTTCGCTGGGTTAAGTCTGGGAATAAATTGCAGTCTTTAACCTCAAAGTTTCGACGTATTGGAATGGAAGGTTTTTCCTTTGTTTATTGTTAGACACGATGGGGTATTTCAACAATTGTATGGTTAGAACGCATTAAAAGTTCATTGTAAGGACCCTAGTAGAGTAGGTGGTCTAAATATGGGGTAGCACTTTTATTTCAGGATTTATTGCCTAACTTGTTTTAAAGGCTTTTGTAAGATGTATCACTTCAGTGTATTTAAAATATGTTTGCTTTATGATATGGAGTTCAAATAAGCTTCTTTTTTTTACTTGAGTCGTAGTTTCACACTATTCCCGCTAGGGTGAAGCACTTACATATGACCCTATACTTTCAATTGGCCAATATTTAGACCCTAGCCTGTATCTGGACCGCCTCCTCTAACGATGGCATGAGTTACGGAAATTGTCGTCTTGTACTTTTATACAAGATTGGTCACCTGATATTATCATTGATATATCACGATTTTGCGTCAATACATTATACTATAGACAGTGATAGTCACTTATTTTCACAATTTTGTTCTTGCTGGAAACCACTACTAGAGCTTGACCATTAAAAACTAAAAACAGTGGTGTCAGAGAAAGGCCTCCTACCACTTCCTAAATTTATTTTAAGTACCGAAATAAATGTATTATTACTGAATGTAAATGTGGCATAAATTTCAGTAACTCCCGAGACCAACTGGTAGAAGACCCTTCTCTTACGCTGCTTTTCCCCCTAGCAGAAGCCGAATTTGCTCGCCAATGTATTCAGAAAAAAATGACTACAACCCTGCTGTTAAATAAACCATGGGTTCCCATTTAAAAAATCAAAGGTCACTTTCATATTTTCAAAGTGTCTCCTAGAAAAATTTCGTTTGATCAATTTTATTTTTCCCTTTGAAACTATGCAATTTTACTTCAATTTATTTTTCTTTACAGACAGTAATATTGACGTAAATCAAGATGATAATATCAGATGACCCACCCTGTATATATGTATATTTTTATTAGTCACCTCATATAGAACCTTATAAAGAATGATTCTCGTTTAGTTGTACCGTGACTTTATTCCTATTCAATATAATCTCTGGATGTGTCAGTTATCTTTCAAGGCAGCGCAAAGAGCAACGATCGACGCAATTGACCTGACGAAGGGACGTCCCCAAGTGTAACCCTCACTTTTTAATCAGTTGTCGCTAGTTTGTCATACTTGTCGACCTGAACTTTACAATTTAACTTCATTCTTGTGCGGTATACCTATTGTTAATTACCTGCGGCGCTGTAGTTAATAAAGTATGAATGAGAAGTATACCCTCTTGTCGATTGCGGGACTTATAAGTCATTCTACGCCAAATCGATCATTTGGGTCAAATTAGATCAAATTGATCAAAATGGGTTATGAAGTAGTCCACGTGGAATTAGGGGGGGGGGGTCAAGTCTTCATTTTTCCAGATTCGAATTTATTTAAGAAATACAGGCCTTTCAATTTTGCGATTTTTGCCCATTTTCGTAAAAATGGATTGTACTTATGAATTTATATCTCGGAAACTATTTATCGCATTCAGTTAATTCCTTTTTATTTTAATCGAGATGGATTAGCCTTCCTGAATCCAAAAAGTAAGCACACCTCCAACAGGCGTTTGACCGTTGCGCCAAATAGGTAGTTGAAAGCGTTGCCCTTAACTCTGCTTTTCTCCTACGGTTTCAATGACCAGAAAAGAAGATTATATTTCAATAGTCATTATGTTTTTAAATATTTGTTTCTAGTATCAAATGTACTTAAATTTTACGTCTACCTTTTGTGTACTTCTCATTTCTTAAGAATAAAGCATTACAAAGTTCAAAAGATGTAATTTTATTCGAACGGATAGAAACTTGAAGAATAAGTAAGGAGAGAGCTTAATTTTGGATATATCACGCACGAGTGAATTTTAATTGTTCCTATCTCATAAATTATTAACCATCTAGGCCCAAAAGTGGACTATGGGTGTGTTCAGCTCGACGAGTACCACAAACTGGTAAAAACTGAATAATAACGGTTACCCCTGGAAGGTTTCCCTCGTGAGTACGAGACATTCGTGCGTGACATTTTTTAGTCCCAAAAGTTATCGTACAGCTTAGTTACCCGCTGTATTGACTTGAATGTGAAGTATTTTTTCTTGTCCAAAATCTAATCGAAAATGAAAAAAAAAAACAATTCTGTTTATGCATTTTGAAGGGGATAATATTGAGATAATATGGTATTGATTGGTAGATAACGCGACAAGATAAATTTCTACGCTATCAGTCCCGTTAGTTTTCTGACAGTACTCGTATTTTGACAGACATTAATGCAAGACAACTGGTTTGTCTAATCCAAACGTTTCAATCAGATTTAACCACTGAATTATTTATTCGAAGTTTCTAGCAAGCCCGCTGTAACGAATCATCGATACTTTTTTTGTACAGTGCATAACGTGGACATATGGAATGTAATTGAGGCGTTTCGAGAAAATGGTTTGAACACATTGGAACCGTCGAGCACGTTGGGCGTATCGAGACTCGAAACGTTACTATCCTCCTTATTTCACGCCCTTAATAAACGAGTGCCTGTTTCGCAACAAGCCAAAGTCGACGCCACAACGGCCCTGCTGATGAATTGGCTGCTAGCTGCATACACTACAGGGTATAAATAACCATTGAATCGTAAAAACGCACTAAACTGGCCTATAAGTTATCGAATAAAACTGGAAACCTTAATTTCATATTGCAATCCTTGAAACTTTGATTTTGCACCGGAATAATAACACTGGTTCACGTCAAACTGTTCCTTCTGAGCATTACCTCATTATGCAACGTTTTTTTTGTAAGAAATTGAGTCTTTTGAAAAATGCCATGTGTCCAGTAATCGTTCATATTCTATATACAGGGTGTCCCAAAAAGATGGGACGTGTAGGAAAGGGAGGGCATGTGCAGGAAAAAGGGTAAATATTTACAATAAGGGCGGCAACTCTAATTTGGATGATTTTTCAGTATGTTGTCAAGGTCATCACCCTCAGTAGTGTTGTCAAGCTTTTAGTTGGGGGGCACCGTTTGTAAAAAAGGAGAAAGTAGAAGAAGGTCAAATGTTCTTTGCTTTATAATACTATTTTGTTTGAGGCTTTCGTGAACCGACTTCTTGCGCTTAATACTGTTTGAGGCTTCCAGCCGCAAGCTGTATCCTTTTAGTACGGGTAGTCCACGTTCGTCAGCGTAGCAGTTAGCTTCGTCGAGGGTGTCCGCGATAATTTTCCTGATAATTGTGCACTTGATTTCTGTATATTTCTTCAGTTCACGCATAATTAACCATAAGTCTCGCTGGTTGCGATTTGGTATCTGATCGAATTTATTTGCAAAAGAAAAAGTTACTAATTTTTTGCATTTCGTGAACTATGAAAATTTGCTGACAAAGTAAAAGTTAAAATACACAATTATCTTCTGAAAGGAATATTCGATAATTGAAATAGTGTGCAGTATTGAATAATTGGAGCCTAGTCGCTGCGTAGAGTAATACAATTAAAAATCTTTCGTTAAATATTCAGCTGGAGCAATTATAAATATTTATTATTTAAAATAAAATCGTACGTGACATTTAATGGATTGAAAACTATATTATGCTTTTTTCACCGAACGAACAGACTAATTTCTTAATAATAACTGTATACAATTTTGACGTTCTTTTAACATTTAGTGAAGGAAAATCAAAGGGGTACCATCGCATAGATGATCTCGACGATTTTGAAACGTTATCATATGAGACTTTATTAAACGAAACGTGATTATCTTCCAGAGAATAAAGTAATAAATATAATTTCAATAAAAACTATCCAAACATTTGATAATTAATGCTATTTAATGAGCGTAGTAATTAAAAATTACACTCCTGTGCATAAATATTAAGACGTTGCAGATTTGATGTATTTATACTATATTTGACAGTATAAAGTTCAATAAAATTTAAATGTGGTTTTTGCTTTACTTGAAACTTGATAGAACCTTTAATAGCGCAAACAGTTTTTCTTGTTTATTCCAATTTTATTGTATAATAAAGGTCATTTAAAGTGGATGATGTCTGTGAACGCATCAATAAAAATTATAAAACTCATTGAAAAATTATCGAAGATACTGAATGCATTTGTCTAGGGCCTAGAGAATATTATAGTCCATGGTCTCATATTGAAAAGTAATTAGAAATACATTGCATAACTATGTAGACTGTGGTTGTTTCTGAAAATATAGAATGTCACAGGCTAATTTATAAAAAACTGGAATAACAGAAATCAATAAAAGAAAAATGAATAAAATAAAAAAGAAAGCCTCAGATTTACTCTATGAAGGTTTCTAGGAATTTTTAAATACAGTAAAATCTACATTAAATTTTATTTTATATCTTCTCTCTTCGTCTCTTCTGTGCCGCTAAAATCCACGATATCGTGTACTTACGGACGGAATTTTAATTTCTAATTACACCATTAATTCAAGAGCACTGTAAAAGTGAATACTTGGAGTAACACGAAAGCACAAAGCAAACGCGAACCCACGAAAGGAGCTGAATTCTCTAAGTGTTGTCATGCGCAAAATAATTAAATTTGTGAGCTAAGTTCTTCAGACTGAAGTTGATAGAAGCTTTCGTGTTTAATTGTATTAGGGTCCGTAATGAACTCCCAGTAACATGTACTTTCTAAGTGGTATCTGTTTCAGTTATCGTATATGTACTAATAGCGCGAATTATTGACTACGAACCACGGCTTTTAGTTCATCGTCCATTAAATTAACCCTTTCAATAGGAACTCTAACTCCTATTAGTCATCTATAGTTAACTGTGCTGGATGGGAGACTAGAAACAAACCACACGTAAAATTACCACGGCGGTGAACGTACACTACCGGCCAAAAGTTTGGAATCAGTTGTTGATTTCTATCAAGAATCGAATGTCCTTAAATTTTCTACCTACCCATCGTTAGCCCTTAACTACAGATTACTTGTCTCAGGGATGAATACATAATCCGACAACGAGTAAACTTTGTAACACTTAATAGGTAACTACCTGAATGTTATTCTGCGTTATCGTTTTGTAAAGAGTGTACCATAGTAGGTACTGTCAGTTGAAGGTACTCCAACGGTAGAGCTTCCAAAATTTTCCACTAAAATGTAATAGTGAAATAAAAATTCAGTTTCGTCTCTGATACGTGTGGTCTGCAGTTAAGGGTTGATATATCATATATTAACAAAAATATTTTGCATTTTCTTGAATGCTAATATTCTCTTGTACAGAGTATCTCAGCTCGAGTAGTACAACCAGGCAAAAAGGTGATTCTATAAGAAAAACTAACAATAGAAAAAACAAATTTACAAAAATAAAAAAGAACTGAATACTCAGATACATTTAATCATTTGAAAAGGCGCCTAGTCTGATGAACAAAGTTGAGTGTAAAAGAAACAGTGACCCATTAATGTCCTGTGATTAATTTGTTAAATTTTCATGTATTATTCGGAAACTTATTTGCCACGGTGTACCTGTTCCTCGTCACAGGAAAGGTATAAAATGAATTTTCTCGCAGGGAAAACAATAAAATATCCGTATTCTCGGTGAAAGTTGCTTTAGCTACACTATGTGCTGGGAAGTTGATGGACAAGTTCCGATGTAAGTTATATTCCTTTTGCCCAAACAAACATCTTCGACTTAAAATCTTCCTTAATTAATATGTATTGTCTATCGAGCAGATATACATTCACAAATATCGGACAGTAATGGCCACATGATCCATTGGAGGTTCGCCGAATATTTGAAAGAAGTCCTAGCGTTAACGGCTGCGGTTTACGAGTCTCCGTCTTTCTGCTACACCGAGGGTCTCGCCAATTCAATATTTCTTCAAGTAAGTTCGACCTAGCGAGTTTTTTTTTTTCTAGTATATTCCAAAGTGGAGTAAAGAAAAAGAAGAATTGTAGAATATGGCAATTTTTAATCCTTTTGGAAACTGAAACAAAGCATTCAGGACATTTAAGGGTAGATACATACCTTCTAAGGAATTATCTGAATATCTGCATCGTTAATTTCTCGCTGTCTGTGGTTGTAAATTAATATCTCTTGCGTCACTTTTATACATACGATAAAAATATAGACTGCTATCTACAAAACAGTCTTCGAACTTTTGTATTTCATGCATTCGTTTAGCAATTATGATTACTTATGGTCGAGAACTTCCCCAAATAACTTTCCCATCACCCAGGGGTAGTATAATCATACATAACGGACGCTTTGCTTTCAAGTGGACAGTAGTCAAAGAGTTAAATAAGATACTGTGTCATATTCGTTCTATGTCACATGATACAAGAAAAATTCATGTCTTCACTATAATTACAAATTATAATAAAAGTTACGTTTAGGGAATGCAGCTTCGATGGCCTTGACATTGGCATATGTTGTTAAGGACACTCTATTAAAAACTTATAGTTATTCCAACCAGTTACTCTAACCAACTCCGATCAGTTTATTGCTTCAGAGTTGTTTAGACACAGTTTAAGAAAAGAAAAAATCATTCAAAGTCAATTGGAGACAGTTCAAGAAAAAATGTCATTCAGAGTTGATTATAGAAAAAGGTATCATTGTTCTCTTAATAACTTTCTACTAAATATTTGATAACTGGACCGTCCTGAAGGTCACTCAAGGGGGTGACCTTGACAACATATGTTAAGGTCATCGGTTATTTTACTTATCAATACTACTGAAGTACGACACTAAACTTTTTTTGCTAATAACTCTCTAATAAAAACCGAGCGGCAGCTAAAATTTCTTGGAGGATACTCAGAAGAGTGTCCTTAACAACATATGTCAAGGTCAAGGTCATCGAAGTTAACTTAACTAAGGTTCTCTCCATATTCAAACGCTATTATCTAAAAAATGGTTGGAAATACAAAAAAATTATATAAACAGTAATTGTAGAAAATTGAATGCTCTTCTAATACTGTTGTAACAAAATTTGGAATCGACTTACCATTTTTTAGAAACTCTGTAAGAACTCCAAAAACATGGACGGTTTAAAAAATTTAAGACTTGGCCGGCACCCTTTTTTATTATCCGATTGCAATGAACTTTTTCAGGGATTATTTTCTTATGAAATGGAACCATTCTAGGGAATGAGAGCAAAGAAATACTAAAAAAATGTTCGTTATGTATAAACAAGGGCCACCCTATTGCACGCATTTGAAATTTACAAAAATGCATAAAATTCACAATCCACCGATGAAGTTCGTCACGAAATTAATTTTTTTACGTTACGTACTGTATAGAAATATTGGTTACCTACACAGCGCGTAATAAAGTCGCTACTTTGATCGTATGCTTTATTAATTTTACAAACGTATTCTATATTTGAGAAGTAACAAAGAAAATCTCTCAATTTTCATGCATGGGGTTACTTGAAATCAATTGTATTATGTATTTAAAGTCAATAAATGTAAAATCGAATCATTTGTACTCTCATTTTCATGGAAATCCGTATATAATGGTAGCAACTGCTTGAGCTACTATATGTCGAAAATCAATGTAATTGATGTTGAAATTGTCTTTCAGAACTTAAAAATTACGGTCAACGATTTTTTGGATACGCTTATGTCTGACCCAGGGCCACATTGCTTAATCTGGCTTCCCCTGTACCATAGAATGGCCGCTGTTGAAAACGGTAAGTGTCTGTGATTTTAATTCTCCAAATTAATCAACATTGAATGCCATGTATATTCATTGATATAACAGAAGCTTCAACGAATTTTTAATTTGTCACGTTTTCATTTGTATTTGAGTAAAAATCTGAATATGGTTGTCTGATTATCCTAAATGGTGTATCGTTTAACGTTCATGCAATAATTGTGGATATATTTTCTTTAAATTTTAGTGGCTCATCCCGTCATGTGCGACGTGTGTCATAAAGAGAACTTCACCGGCTTCCGATACAGGTGTCAGAAGTGCCACTCGTATCAGCTTTGCCAAGACTGTTTTTGGCGTGGTAAAGTTTCTGGGACACATAATAATGATCATGAGACAAGGGAGTACAGTAGTTTTGTATGTAATTTTTTAAATTGAAGTTTTCAAGTTCGGAAGGATCCACTGTTCGCATTACTGAATCCACATAATCCTTTCACACAGAAATCGCCGAGCAAGCAAATTGGACATTCCTTGCGAAAAAGCTTCAGATGTGTACCTGAAAAAGGGAAAAACAGTTTACCACGATTTCCTGAACAACCTGAGAAAACCTTAGATTTGTCTCATATAGTGTGAGTGTTGTAACTGTAACAATTAATTAATAAGACAGTCTGTCTTCTCTCGTCAGCATAATTTATCGATTCAAATAAATTGACTGCATTACAGCCCACCGTCACCTTTACCATCTCACAACGGTTTTCCAGATCCAGGGTTTATGGCTCCCTTTGATTCTGGATCAATGGACAGCCGTTCTACATTAAGGAGGTGAGCATTGAACGTGTCGTGTCTGTATGTTTATTTATGTTATCATACAGGATGTGGGATTTATCTGGACGCTTGTAAATATCTCGAAAAATATGAATAATACGAAAAAATGTTTCAGATAAAACTTGCATGATATCGAGGGAGACATACTATACTCTTGTCTATTTGACCTTGCCATGACCTCGGAACGTCGTGTGAAAATCATATTAAAATGTGTAAACGGGAATCTGCATTTTTTATGACATATTCTCGGAGCTAATATTCAGACGTTTTCAAAACACTACTTATGTATGTATTTTGCACAAGGCAAGTTCGAGTTATGAAACAACAAAGTTGCCGTGCCGCCAGTATTAACGATGTACCCTCACGAGCAAACTCGGCTTCCGCTAGGGGAAAAAGTGGCGTAGGGGAAGTGCCTCCAACCACTTGGTACATTTATTTCAAGTACTGAAAGAAATGTTAAATCGAATGTTAATATGGCATAAATTTCAATAATTCCCGATACCAAGTGATAGAAGGCCCCTTCCTCTGTCACTTTTCCCCTAGTGGAAGCTGAGTTTGCTCGTGAGTGTACAAAGTCGGACCAAGCAACCTCCCTGCGGTGTACATCGGGTGACGCTAATGCTGGTGGAACATTAGACTTGAAATTTGATATCTTGACATTGGTTGGCGCGAAATGCACATATAGATAGTGTTTTGAAAATGTTTAAATGCTACAAGAATACGTAACGAAAAATATAAGTTTCTATTTGAAAATTTAAAGGTAACCTTCAAAAAGCTTGTCAAGGTAATCGCAAAGTCAAATAAATGTAGGCGTCATATGTGCCCCTTGGTACCCTACAATTATTGTCTAAAGTATTTTTCCGTATCATCCATATTTTTCGAGGTACTTATACGTTTCCAGGTAAATCACGCACCGTGTATATCTCCATAAAAAGTCGCATTTTATTTATATTTTTTTTTATATGACTATTGTACAGTATGGATAGTTCAAGACTGGATGATGAACATAAATTAATAGCACGATACGCACAAAGGTTGGCTCAGGAAGTTAGAACCATGGTAAGACCACTTTCTCTATTTCAGTATATATATTAATGCGATTAATTTAATTCAATATTTGCAATATGTATTCAGATATACAAAAGAATCACTTTTTTGTCAAAATAATAGACTTAGCCAATGAAAATTCTGCTATATTAAGCTAAATATTATAATAAATTATATCTCACTAAGAATAGCACACAGAATCTGTGTGAAACTGTTTGGTAATGAAAGTAGAAAGCATTAAGCGATACTCTTCAAGCCTAGTAAGTTAGAACAGTAAAATTAAGCAGTACGATGATGAATCGTGATATTGTCCCTACTAATTTTATCTTTTATAACTACATTGACAGCCTCGAGCCGCATCCAGAATGTCGCAAGCTGACCAAGCAGTAAGTACGCAAAGTTTCGAATTTAACGCAAACATTGTTTAAATAATGAGATTCTTATCTTAAAAACTGTCCCGTTTCAGGGTAGGGCGCCGTCTGACGCAAATTTGGCATCGTTAGATGCCTCAAGAACGCAACGCGAACTTATATCGCAATTAGAGGCAAAAAACAAGGAAATAATACGCGAGATTGCAAGGTTAAGGTATACCTGTGTCGTTTATTTCCTTTCTATCAAGCCTAAACCTCAAGATCATCCTGTCGAACCATCCTAGGATCATGCATGTTATGAACATTCTGTTTCGCTTTATTACTTTGGTTGCATAGCGTACGTATTAGAGCTGAAGACATCACAATAAAACTAACAATTACAATCTTTTTTTTTAAATATATACATAATCACCATATACAGGGTATTCAATAATAGGTGTCAGAAATTTTAAAGAATGATACTGCATGCCAAACTAACGAGAACGAAATCAAGAGTAACGAAATTGCGTTAAAAGCTTCGTTTCCGAGTTATTAAGTGTCAAAAAGACGGGTGAAAACGTCTGACACGACAAATTATTTTACTTGAGAAACGCATTCTTTAACTGTTTCACAAGTTGGTGTTAGTCATTTCATTTCATTTATTAGTTTCACTAGATCATCGATCAATTCCGTGTACTAACTGAGACTCAATTGTTCGAATCGTATGAAGTATAACCCATCGGGCCAAACGTTTTATTTTATGTATATTTTGCCCATATTTACAACAATCAATAACTCAGAAACAAAGTCTTTAATGTAATTTCATCAGTCTTATTTTTCGCCTTAGTTTGACATGTAGAATCACCATTTAATATTTCTGACACCGGCTGTCTTCCACCCATATATTTTCTATGTAATAAGTTCTGGTAGAAGTAGTATCTAACCTATTAATTTTATGGGATAAATAACAGAAACAATGTATATGGTATAGATCATAGAATTTGTTGGGATAAAAGATATGTCTACATTATTTTATTTTCAAGGTCATATAGGTCAACTTGATTCTTTTAAGTGAAATGTATTTTTGTGTCGGTATTTTGATATACAAATGTGTATTGGTTTGTTTTACTTACACAGATCAAACCATCCCTACACTTTGTGAGAATTGTTAAACTACAATTTGCATAAGTGAGAACAGCCATTATTTTCAGATTACATATAGCGGAACATTTCTCATAAAAATTTCCCAAGTTATTATATTGCTTTCGCTTACTTTAATATTATGTTATAAGACATTATTGAATGTCCTTTCTACGAATAAGATGGTAACGCTATAAATTCCCGATCTAACTAGGTTATAAAATAGAAGTATATATGTATAGAATTTATTTATTCTGCTTACAATTTACATATGCATAGACAGTTACCTGAAAAGTTCGCCTATGGCTACCGAGACTCTACCTCATTTCCTACTCTTGGATTATTACTTTAAATTAAGTCGAAAGTACTCAGTCAGGCAAACCTGCAAAGCCAAATTTTGTCCAGTGCCTGTTATAAAATTATGGCTCAAGTTGCTGTACCATTTTGTCAGCTGACGTTGCCTGTAAAACTCAAGTCAAATGCGGAAATAAAAGCTATGGTTTTTTAGACAACTTTCGTCATTTATTGCTGGTAATTTGCTCGAAACTCGTACAGAACTGGTTATCAGGGAACCTGACGCGACCATACCACCGGTCATCAAATATCCTTGAAAACAAAATCACAAAAATATTTCTATTATTCCAACAATTTCTATGGTTCATATAGTACATATATTGTTTTTCTTTATGATTGTTAAGGTCAAAATTGTATTATCATGGGACACCCTGTATAAATATAAGTGATTTGGAAGTCTGGCGTCCTAAATCTAATACTATAATTTATATGAAAAATATTTAATTTGGAACCTAAATACTTATCTGAACATGCTTTTTTTTAATTCTGAATATGAATTACATAATCCAGAAATGGAATAATCAAGTATACCTATTCTTGTAATTTCCACATTCTTAATTGTCAGAATATCTTAATAACTTGAATTGATTCCCACTAATATACTCATTAGATTCACATACAAACACTACATCATATAATACATTCTTGCTTCAGCTTGTAGTCAGTGAAATGGAATATCTCATTCAGTGGATATTCTGTTTCTTACTTTACAATTACCGAACGTTTCGCACATTAATATTAAATCCAACAACAGGAGACAACAAGAGATAGAAGCTGCCGGTTTAGAAAATCCTGCGCTAATGTCAGAGTTGCGGGCTTTAAGACAAAGGAAAGATGAGCTTGAAACTCATTTAGCCACCTTACAAGATTCTCGAAGGCAATTAATGGTACAACTAGAAGGTTTAATGAAAATGTTGAAGGTAATATATCCAATACAACTTATAAGTTTCGGCACAACATCTTTATTGGTTCTATAACTGAGATACAACAGTTGAAGCATCATTGATTATAGAATCATCAGGCATCTCCAAGATCAACACCAAATAGTTCACCACGCAGTACAAAATCACCGCCTTTACCACCTGGTGCTGTGTCAAGTAGTAGGTCAGCTCCTCCGACTCCAGGCGGTCCATTATCTACGACTCCACAGCAACAACAGCAACAATCGCAGAATCAACAGCAGATGTCTCAGAGCTATCAAAATCCAGTCCCAACGACATCCGTGGCGAATGTTCCCAGTAATGCTATGCTTGGAACAATACAAAATCCTATTCCAGATAACTTATCATGTGTTGGAGGTGATGTAAGGTAGGCAGGCATGTAGAAAATCTATACTAGAAACAAGTAAAAATAATCCAACAGACAAATATAAAACAGAGCATAATACAAATGACAATCTTTGTATAAAATATTGTTTTGTTACTGTTGAATGAATTATCTCAATTAATGAGATATAGTTGAAAATATTTCTACATTTGTTTTACGATTTGGTGAAAAATTATATTTACTATTATAGCTAATATTCGGGAATATACCGACAAGTTTTGTGTATATATACTATTCATAAATGCAAAGAATCAACACTTTGTTTTTATCAGTATTTTTTATGTTCAATCTTAGTCGATATATTTACGAATCATTTTATACAAAAATAATTTGTACAAAGATTTATGATATATTTAATTAAATGAGTGATAATGTCGTAAATATTAATATCATTGGTTTCTACACAATCCAAAATAAAAAATATCTTCCTCTTGTATGCTGTACGTTTCCTATGCACTGTATGCCATATTTGAAATAGTCACTATTACTTAATTTCTAAGTAATTAAATCGCTGAATCATTTATGTTGTAAGAATTTACGTTTATTTTTTAAAAAGAAATCAAACAGAATGTAAGTAGTTTTTTTACAATCATATTTATCAGGTGACAGACTATACACCTGTTAATTACATACACTTACTTTATGCTTTTATATAATCATACAGAAAAGTTGATTTCTTCTACACAAACAGTGCTAATTATAATAAACCTGTAGCTGCACATTGTATAAAAATTAGCACAGTAATGATACTTCTGATTGTTGCATGCGAATGTTAATAAGAATGTATTTTTGTTTAAGTAGTAACCAGACAGGTTTGGTACTAGTTAAATATGAAAGATTTTTCACGTTTTGAAACATTCCTATGTTGATGATGCTATGAAGTTTTGCAAAGAAGCAGTATACTCAAATGATGATGCTTTTTGCTATTTTATGACGCTTTTAATTTTTATTATATTTTTATAGTTTTATGTTATTTACTATATATTAATTTGCAGGCATGTATATTGTATAAAATGAAACAGTTAATATCAATATACTTTACATAGTATGTTAACAAATTTTATTGTATACTTTTAAAATGTTGTTACTTCTTCGTTTACATAGAATTATATAATTATTGCATACACATTCTTTTATTTTTATTAAGTCAAGTTTAATGTATTAGTTATGATTTATTTTTAATGTTTCATATAATTTAATTTCCCTATATTCGTAAAACATTAATATAAAATGTTAAAGAAACACTGAATTAACACCATTTGTATATAATGCATTGATATAATAAAGATTGCTATTTTCTGGGTAAACATGACTAATATGAGCTATACACAATTTTTTAAATATACAGGGTGGGGCAATAACTATGTTCACTTTGAATATTGCCCTTATTTGTAATAATATGAAAAAATGTTATATACAAAACTTACACAGTATAGAGGGGGGCATATTGTGACGCAAACATTTTCTGCGTGGGTGAAGGCATAGAGGAGATTTCAAGGTCATCTCTATTTTTTTTAATGGAATGCTATGTTTTTTTCATCGCGATGTGATAACCGGTGTTGAGACGACTTGAGCGAGCTATCACTGAAGGTCATGCAAGGTGAAATGTGGTAGTAAAATAAACTTTCTTACATTACTGGCGAACGATATGCACACTTTATACGAAGTAGATTGGGGACTTTATTAGAAAATGTACCACTAAACGTTCGCCAAATTATGTGGTTACAGCACGACGGGTGTCCAGCACATTATGCTCGGAGAGTAAGAGATGCACTTAACGAACTTTATCCAAATAAATGGATAGGACGTGGAGGATTAGTTTGGCTACCTCGTTCTCCAGATTTAACCCCATCAGATTTTTTTTTCTGGGGAGCATTGAAAAATGCTGTTTATCAAGAAATACCCACTACACCAGAAAATATGAAACATCGGATAATTGCAGCATGTGCTAGAATAAGTTCAGAAACGATAAGACATGCACGTGATGCAGCGATACGAAGATTGCAACATCGCATTGACGCAAACGGTCACCATTTGGAGCATCTCCTGTAATGTAAGAAAGTTTATTTTACTACCATATTTGACCTTGTATGACCTTCAATGATAGCTCGCTGAAGTCGTCTCAGCACCGGCTATCACATCGCGATAAAAAAAACATAGCATTCCGTTAAACAAAAATAGAGATGACCTTGAAATCTCCTCTATGCCTTCACCCACGCAGAAAATGTTTTTGTCACAATATGCACCCGTCTATACCGTGTAAGTTTTGTATATAACATTTTTTCATACTATTACAAATCACGGCAATATTCAAACTGGACATAGTTATTGCCCAACCCTGTATAATAAAGATGTATATCCTCCAAGCACTGTAGTTTTAATGGTATCAGTGATAAAAGTCAGTAACCAGTTTTGAATTCACTAAATATAAACATTCGAACTTCAACAAAATTTTTCGAAACATTATTTCCTGGTATTATTTTTATGAAAAAAAATGAAAAATGAATAAAATACTGTACATATGTAGCTATTTAATTTACTATAAAACAATGATATTACACTGTGTAATCCTTATAACTATTTCCACATCATTTTGCATGCATGTGATAGTCTACGGCTAGTTTGAAATTTGCGTTTATACATATACTTTGTGTTATTCAACAGACTACACAGTGTTATAAGAAATGCAAATGATTAATCATAGCAAATCATAGTTGCTTGCACGATAAGCGTGAGCGTGGCATGGCACAAACCTATTTTAGTTTCTTATTTGAAAGTCGCTTTATGCAAAGAAAACAGAGATTTTCGATATTAGGTCTGCGTTCAGGACAAACAGCTTACCAGGAAGCGGTTCCAGCAGCGCGAATAATAGCTTGGGCCGGTCTTTGCGCAATGACTTGTTGGTAGCTGCTGACAGTGTTACTAATGCCATGTCAACACTTGTGAGGGAATTGAATTCAGGTATGTTTAATTACAAATTATAATATAATTTGCATCAGAAATGAATGCAAAGTATTTATGTAGTTTCAAATGGCACCAGAATTTGTACTTAGTTATTTTCTTTAATACAGGCCACCAATAATTACATATTCGGATTAGATATAAGAGATACAAGTTTTTCTTCTTATAATTAAGAAAGTTATAATCAACTTTAAGAGGTAATAATTGACATTTAATAAAATCTCATATTTAATACAATAGATAATATACTATAAACTGCTTAATACAATATACAAGTAGTTGAGAACTTGTAAAGAAACTATTAACAACTTATTATAAGTATCATGTAAATATGTTCATATTTCATTTCACTCGTAGCATATTCAGAAACTAATTCATCAAAGTAAAAGTGAAGTCATAAAATTAATCTCAAATACTTATCCTTGTACATTCTCTGATTATATAGCCATATTAGTGTAAACAGGCATGTTTCACAGTATTTTTATTCTATCATGTCATTAGATTTTTATGGCATGTAACAGTACTAGCATTACCTATCCTGTTCTTAACAAAAGAGATCTTATAAATTTATTACAGAACTAAGTACAAGGTGAATTTTATTACATATTTCTAGTTACACAGCAAGTTATAAACAAAATTAAAATTATGTTTGAAAGTATTGTCCAATAAGGCTCCTCAAAATATTGTTATTTCATCAATGAAAACTGAAACAGTTGTATATTTGCAAATGATTAATTATTACAGAATTACAAACACAAGATACAAAATTTAAAAAGTATAAAAGTTATACGAGTATTGTGTTAATTATAATTTCATGTGGATTGTGGGGAATTCACAAAAAGGTAAAGAATACACTTCTGCTTATATTTGAATGTAATTAGTAATAGTTCTTAAAACGTTACAATATTCATCAAATATTATAAAATAATTGTATATGTAGGGTGTCACCAAAGTGGTATGATACAATCTGAAAGGAGATAATTTTACACAAAAAAGAAATAAGTTGAAAATGTAGAATAAAATTTGCCATGAACAATACATATAAACACATAAGCAACATTTGGTTCAATTACTGGTTATTTTCACTTATGTCAATGTTTATAAATATTATTTCTGGTATGACATTATTCACATTAGATGATACGGGCAATATTATATCATTATCTATATTTATTGCAAGTATATAGAAATACCTAGTGAATAATAGATACATATGACACCCACGAGCAAACTCGGCTTCTGTTAGGGGGAAAAAGTGGTGTAGGAAAAAAACTTCCTATCATTTAGCAAAATTTATTTCAAATACTGAAATAAATGTTAAACCGAATGTTAATTTCGCATAAGTTTCAATAACTCCGAGACCAAATGGTAGGAGGTCAGACCTCCGAGGTCTTTCGGTACATAGAGATACCTAAATATAGTACAAGCCGTATATAGGAGCATATATGTATGTGCCTCAAAGTTTTAAAAATTGATGACATGTGTCAACAAATCTTATTCTACATTTCTGCTCATTTATTCATATGTATAGTATCACCCCCTTTCGGGTTATATGATCCATTCGATGGCACTTTGTATTATACAGGGAGTAAGCCAGATAGTACAACCGATGAAAAAATTATTCTACATACAAAAAGAAATGAAAAAATAGAATAAAATTGTTTCATGTGAAGCTTAGTTTACGAAAAAATCGAATTCGGAAATTCGTCTGGTAGTATCCGCGTCCGCACACGAGTAACTCTATTTATATGTACCCTTGCGAGCAAACTCAGTTTCCACTAGGGGAAAAAGTAACGTAGGAAAAAGTACTCTTACCATTTGATGTTTGAAATTACTGAAATGTATGCCAAATTAATATTCGATTTAACATTTATTTCACTACCTGGAATAAATTTACCAAGTGGTGGTAGATTTTTCTTCTACGCCGCTTTTTCCCCTAGCGGAAGCCGAGTTGCGAGAGTACATACATATATTATATTGTATGCTTGTGTGTGCGTACATCATTGTATATACATTACTGACTATGTATACATATATAAATATTAATATCCATAAGTATCAACAATGACGTGCTTTTTTAGTCTTATACAAGAATTTTATATAAATTTGTAATTAGAAGATAGTAAGAACTGTGGTGAATGTAAAAGAAACAATGGCTACGTTCAGAAGACACAACCGTTGCGCAACCGTTGAGTGATTTCACTAGATTTGACTCTGAACGCTACACCCTATTGGGTGAGCGGTAGCAAATCTAGTGAAATCACTCAACGGTTGTCTTCTTAACGCAGCCAATGAATAACCGGCAAACGCATCAGCCAATCATAATTCAAATGCGCGTGAATCTAACACACTTTCAAATTTGAATCTTTTATAAACGAAGCTTTCTATGAAAAAATTTCGACCTACATTTTCGATTTGTTTTTGTATGTATTTACTACAATCACCTACAGTCTGATTGTACCACCCCTCCCATCACAACTTGTATTAAGTTTCTGAACATATTTGTAATTTGTGTGCTATTTCAAAGCAAATTTATGCAAATGTAAATATCTAGTTTCCACCCTTCTTTACACATTTGCCTGTTGTAATTCTTATTTTCCCTCATTTAGTATAGAGTTAGCAAAGTTTAGTCTAGCAATAGCACAGACTACACTACACGCAAAACAGCAAGTGCTTATTTTAAGATAATGTTCCGTTGAATTGGTATTTATGAACTAATTTGTAATTTATATGAAAATAATTTACAAGTCAATTCAACAAGCCTAATAAATGAAATTTATTAAACATTCGTTACCTGGTGAAAACAATTTCTCATTTCCAATATTCAAATCCAATAATCTAAAAGTAAAAAGTATGATACTTCTTATCTTTTCTATTAATATTCTGAGAATTACTTAAATAAACACTTTAAACAATGTTCAATAACAAACATATTACAGAACATAAAATTTTAACAATCAGGAGTATACTATCTAAATTTCTTCTAAAGTTTTTTCTGTATTAAAATTTCGATAACAAATAGATGTTCCTATACAAATAACACTTTAGACGTGTTGTGGAATGTGTGTGATATGCACCCCCTGTGAATGTGTCCTGGTGGCTTGCAGACTCAGACCAGGAGGATCATTCTCACAACTCTGGCCGTCTTAACATCAGAAAGCCGTTAGGTAAGAGTTTATTAAAATCTGAACATTACTGTACTTTTTACATCCTCACAAGCATTTGCAAAATATTACATCACTTGCTTTCTTTGCATTAGTATAATTCCTATAATGAATGAGCATTATGAAAAGTGTTCTGCTATTTCAGAATGTAAAATATTCATATTAAATTTTTAATTTAATTGTCAGGTACATCTCTATAATAATTGAGACCACATAGTAAGATTTTTTATAGTCTCTTTTAGAACTAGTTAATTATTTAAAGTTTAATTGTTATACAGTTACATTATAATCTATGTCTATCCTAAGAAACATGTAGACATATTAACGTTTGTTTAAGCTGTAAATAAACATACAACAATTGTCAAGAATGTCATCTAGTTAAATATTTTTATTTTGTAGACATATATGTGCTAAAATTTTATAACAATTAGTATCCTTTTCATAGAAAAAAATAAATAATAAAGTATTAAAATAGAACAAATCAATATAGGAAAACATGTCTTTTTAATTTGTAAGATATAATTCATAATTTATTTTCTTCTGTTAGACTTCGAGGCTGGTGAAGATGGTGATGATAGCAGCGGTGGTGGAAATTCTTGGAGGGAAGAACTACAACGTCGCTATCAGCAGGGAAAACCATCAGCTACCCCATCCAGTGAACAAGAGCAAGAAAGAGGAGAGAGAGAAGAAGCAGATGGAGAAAAAAAGGAAGATAATGAATCCAACTGGACAGAACCAGTGAAGAGATGGGTCAATCGATAAGTTTATTAGAAGGCATTTATACATACTTTATAACAGCTTAGAAACTACTACCAAATGAAACGCAAATAAATTACTGTAGCTCCATGGGTTACTTACGATGGGCATATATCTGAGTGTTAGTGTGAAATATAATACAAATATTAGACTTTGGACAGTATTTAAACCTTGCATTTTCAAAGCAGTACTTTTAATCAAATGAATTATCAGTTCAAATGTCATTCAAATGCAGAACATACATATAGATCTTCATATAAATTTTACCAAAAACATGACATTAATAGCATTATTATTATAGATGAACTGAACGCTTTATCTGACATTCACAATATTTATGAAATGCAGAGATTGTTTTTGCTTATAAAATAATTACAATGTTATTAAACACCTACACAATTTAAGTATCATTACAATAATTAGATACTTTTTCATAAAGAAATATAATTGTCTGTGTTTTTCTATACTTAAATGTGTTAAATACGCTGTTACAAATAACTGACACTGTTGGATGTAACATTTATGGGCCTAATGACATGGAAATTGATTCTTTAGTTAGATTAGACAAAAAAGTTAACTTTCCTTATTTACACATTTATTAACAGTTCGAGTAACTCTCTTACGAAAACACAAAAAGACATTAACTTAAAACTAGGTGCTCAATACTGAACATTTAGAATAATATAGAAAAAAATTTTGCACAAGTCAAACAGTTGACCAAACTTTGTACAAGGAGATAAGTGAATGTAATTAAAGGACTTTTTTAAATAATTAATAAAAGTACTATTAATGGAGGTTTATTTACAGAACCTCAAGTTTTTTTTGTACACTCATACTACTTAGATACAATATTCAATATAAACTTTAAAAACATTAAAAATGTTGATTACAGTATTTTAATATGTCTCATTGCAGTAGGTGCTTGACTGTAGTAATACGAGATATATAAATACATTACAGGAAGCTTTTTAAATAAATGATACTTTTCTTTAATAGTAAATACCTCAGAGCTGTTGATTCATAAATAAAACTTCCTTGTTCTCTGGTTTTACAGTTACATATCAAAGATACAAATTTATATTTATTTATACTTTCATTTAAATAATCTTTGCTACTATAGGTAAATATTATAATATTTATTTTGTACTGAATATGAATTCTAAAGGATTTATAATACAATTAGAACTTATTTAATTAGATTAAAAATTCTTATCGTCGGTACATTATTAGTTATGTATTTACAGAACGATATTGTTTATGATCCAGTGGCTTTGAAATACATATTGTCATAGTATTACAGAGATAATGTATATAATAAGTATTATTGTTGATTATCTATTGAATATAAAATACTGGTATGATACAAGAACTGTATTGCTTAGACATTCGATTATGTTATTTAATAATTTTTATTAATTTATACAATCTTACAAAGTATTACATTCGAATGCCTAAACTTTACATCGTAATCACAATTACATCGCATTTACGACTGTACGTTGCATAAGAATAGAACGACTGATATTGTTTTTTTGTACTATATAAATTTAAAGTTTAGTTCCTAGATTATATAATTAAATATTATTCAATATATGACCGTTGAATTGTAATTAATAGAGAGCGACACATTTTGTAATATTTACGTAGCGTGTATCATTCGCAAATATTCTATGTATATATTCACATGGTCACATTTGTCTATATAGTTGACATTTATAAGAATAGTGTAGCAACTACATGATACGATTATTGAATAAAAAATAAAATAACTTGCGACATACAAAGAACTTGTGTACGTTAAGATTTAATGTACTTACTCTATTAATCCTCTTTTACTTATACTTATGTATATATATATATTCGATGGTTTCACATACTCTTACGTGGTCCATAAGAAAAGAATCGAAAATATTAAAATAATAATAAAATAATATTTAAAACAATTGCCATAAAAAAGTTAACCGCAAATTTGATAATGGATAATTTGGTAGATAATAGAGGTAAAGAAAATGGTACATTGAATTAGGTATTTAAATTATTTTTATTAAGTAATATTCTTCGCAGGAACGAGAAATAATAGGAAATGTGAAATATATTTATTCAATTCTTCAGTTGTTTCTTTTGAAAATATAATTTGTACGAAACGAAACGTTTGTACGTTAGTGATAATCGGTCAACGCGATATTAGTTCGTTTCATGCAATTTCAGAATTAACACACATACAAGAATTATGGATAGTCGAATGTGGACTCCAAGTAATAAAGTAGATTTTATTTAGTCTCTAAGATTTTATAATATAATATTTTATTTATTTAGGATATACCACCGTTCAAAGAAAATTGTCCACTGAAAGAGCTCTATTTATATTCCAACGAAATATCGTGTGTATCAAATTTGGAAACTTGTACATTTTTGACGACTTTATATTTGTCGGGAAATAATATACAGAGCCTCCAAGTACGTCTAGTTTTATTAACTTTATGTAGAAAAAGTTTTAATAATGTTTTATTAGTTACATCCTTTCATAATGTTATACTCTTCATATATATATATATATATATATATATATATAGACTCTGACTGATTTACCCTGGTTAGAAAACCTTAACTTGGCTGATAATAAATTAAAAAGAATAAATAAATATTCTTTAAAAAAATCGAAATTACGTTATTTAAATTTGGCAGGAAATCAGTTGTGTTTTATAAGGGTATGTAATAATTAGCACACTATATTGATATTCTATTTACTTTACATAGTAATATGTTTCTTTAATTACAAGGAAATAAGAAATCTGTCACAACTACAGAAATTACGTTCGTTAGTATTTGCGGATCTATTACATGGAGAGTGTCCCATAGTAGCACTTTGCAATTATCGTGCCTATGTTATACATTATATTCCACATATTGAGAAACTAGATCACTACTTTATATATGAAAAGGAGAGACAGTGGATTAATCAGTTTTTCAAGTCTTTATATTATTCTCTATTTAGATATACATATGTGTATATACATATACATATACAATTCATTCTGTTTTTACACAATAGATGCATTTCCGAAAAATTTAGGTAAAAAAAGATACTATGCATATGAAAAAATGAAAGATTATTTCCTGATCATGAGAACCAGTAAACATAATACAATAGACGACTTAAGAATTTTCTTTTTAATTCATATCAAATTTCTATTAGAATTGAAATTAAGTGAATTTTTTTTTAAATAGACTGTTAAATCACAATCATGTAAAACCAGAATTAAGTGTATATGGATAATATTCTTTGTATTCTTACTAATTTTCTTCACTTTTAGGAAACAGATAACTTATCATAATGTATTATTTCATAAGCAATTGAGTGAACATTTTAAGTTATTGAAAGATAATTATAAGGAATATGAGAAAATAATGCATTATTTTAAAAAGCAGCTTTATGCAACGAAAGTAATAGAGGTACACCATTTGAGTATCACACGTAGTTACATCAAATAAATTTTCTCTGCAATAAACACTGTTTTTGTTAATTATTTTGTATTTGTTGTACATATAGCACAGTCAAAATTGTTTAAAACATAAAACACATGATGAGTCACAAAATATAATATTAAAAATGGAGTTGAATAAACAACGATCTATACAAAAGAAAAAAATGGCAATAATGCAATCTAAAGTAAAATAACTTTAATATATCATGCTCATATGTGCCCTTACTATATTTTATGTATTTAGAATATTCCACATTACAGTCCACTATTATTAACAAAATATTAGTAATTCTCATTTGTTTATTAGATTTTGCAACGGCAACTGGTATATACTATTAACTATTGTGGAAATATAAATTTTGTTGAATATAATGCAACTCCTGAAAATATAGTTACTCGATTATGTAAACAATTTTTAGAAGAATCGCTGTGTTCAGTCATAAAACAGTATGTAAATATAGTGGTATTGTAAGATATGTTTAAATAATTTTAAATAATCTTTATAACTCCCTTTTGTTGATAGTGACATAGGCATAACTGGTTTGAGATTATATAAAGTCACAGAAGTATGTAATAAGGAACTTGATCAATTGAATCTTTGCAACGATGATAATTTACAGTCAAATGAATGTAATATGATCTTAAAAATTTTAACTATACCCGAAGTAACAGATATTCAAATATGGCCTTTTAACTTCTTTAAAACTGACTTATTTACTAATGTATTACTATACCCTCTTGAGAAATACATATAACTGTAATATGCATTTAAGAACCTTTTCCACTTCCATAGGAAAAGTTAACAGTAACAAATTGTTTGGCAGTAGCAGACTCTGAATGGTTAAGTAAAATGTTAACAACCAAGAAACATGGAAATATACTGAATCTACTTGATAATTTTGAAAGACGACGTGTTTGTATACTCATACAAACACCCATTTTCAACTATATTGAAAAGTAATAATAACAATTTTAATTTTAATAGCAATTATATAAAAAATGTTTTAATACAGAATAGACAATGCTGATGATTACTTGCATGCAAAATATGGAAATTCTTGGAACAATGCAAGTGAAATTTGTCAGAAATTTGTGTTGAGAAATACAAACATTAGAAATCCTATGTTTGTGATAGAATACGAATACATCTTACGTGAATTGACAAATGTAAGAACTTTTTATTATTAGAATTAAAATATTTTAATTTACTGGAAGTATTACTTATTATAAAAATTGTTTAAATTTGTAGGAAACCAAACTTAAGAAATCTGTTGTTCCAAATGTATTAGACAACACTACATATGCTTGCTTGTCCAAGTCAAATATAATAAAATATATTAACATTGACGAAAATATAAAAATACATGATCTTACAGAAATATGTTTGTTAGGTCAACGTATAAATTCAATAAATATAGATCTACATCTACCTAACTTAAAAAAATTTGACATTTCTTTCAATGGTCTTAAAGAATTTCCAAATGTAAACTTCATGAGGAATATGAAAATATTAAATATTAGTTTCAATAATATACTATCAATAGATATTACAGAATCCTTACCAATATTAGAGGAACTAGATATATCATGGAACTGTTTATCAAGTTGTCTTGCAAGTATTAAAACTTTTATAGCGTGTATACCTAATATGTATAAATTAAATATACGTAACAATCCTTTTGAAGATGTTGATCCAGAAATTGTAGAATATGTACTACACACTTATATACCAAATTTACAGTTTATTAACGACAGTACATGTGAAAATCTTACTTTACCTCAAAACTACTTTCCATGTGCATTTAATATGTGCAAACTGAAGCAACATAAGAAATTAATTTATTTAAAACAGAATATGATGAATAGTAAAAAAGAGGTTGATTTATTACTAACAAACAACAACATAAAATATACAAAATCTATTCACATATCACATGATTTTCGTGTAGTGTCAAATGTTTTACAAAAGGCTTTGAAAATTCAGGATTTATGTGCTATCTGCTGTTCATTAACTACGTTTCACATTCCAATGCCTTTGAAATATCTAGTCAGACTAAATCTTGGAAGTAATTTTATTTCTGTTCTGAATGAATTTACTCAGAAAAACTTTCCATCATTAAAATATCTTGATTTGACAAATAATTTAATAACAACTTTAGAACCAATGGGTTCATTCTGTACTTTAGAAGAATTTTATTGTAGCAATAATAAAATACAAAATCTATTACAAATAGATAATGTTAAAACATGGCAAATGTTGAATGTTATAGACCTTTCCAATAATCCAATACATAAAGAAGCATTATATAAAGAGTTTATTATATTTCACTTAAGTAATATTAAAGTAGGTAAACTCATTCATAAATTCAATGTTCTTTTAGACATATTTCATCTGTATTTTATACATAACATAATTTTATTGGTAGTATATTTCTGGAGAACGCATACAAAGCTCTGATATTACCAAAGCAGAAGGCATTTTTGGCAATAAATTAGACAATTATGTTTTAACCACAATGTATAAAACTGATCGATTGACAACTATTACACAGCTAAGTATAATTAACTGTTCTTTGTCCAAGGTATGTCATTTGTTATTTTAAAAGACTTCTTTAAATATATTACATACTAAATAATTTTAGGTTGATCTTTCTGCTGAACTTTTACCACAGTTAAAAAGTTTGGATTTAAGTAAAAATCAGATAACTCATTTGTGTGGTCTGCATTGCTTTCAGTATTTACACACATTATGCTTAAGTTACAATTGTCTTGAAACGTTTCATGGAAATGACTATGAAAGAAAAGAATGCACATTTCCAAACTTATGTACTTTATTGTTAGATCATAATTGTATTAAATCATTAATGAGCACTAGTGAAAAACTACCAGTAATTAAACATCTTTTTCTAAATAACAATTACCTCCAAAATATCAGCGGTAATATGTTACTTACAAAAGCAACATTGAAACTTTATATGTTATTAATTTTTATTATAAATATGTATTTAGATATAGGTCACAGTTCATGTTTAGAATCTTTAATTTTGGATTGTAATGAAATTGATACATTGAACACAGAAGATTTTGTTGAAAACAATAATATAAAACTTCTATCTCTTGAAAATAACAAAATAAAATCATTGGAATTTACGAAACAACTGCAAAAATTGGAGAAATTGTATGCTGCAAATAATTGTTTAGTGGTAAATATGTATTTATGGAAGAAATATAATAATTTTATTAAAGTAATATTCTTTCAGAATGTCAATGAAATGGAAGATTTGTTACTATTGAAAAATTTAGTGGAATTCACGTTACAAGGAAATCCTTTATACACAGAAAAAAACAAAGATAAAATAACTGCTCAATATTTTGAATCAATAAATTTCGAGATTGAAGAAGTGTAGTTAAACATAATTCTCATTAAATATAATTTCTATTTGGTTTCTTATAATAAACTTGTAATTTTCAAGAATTAAAAAATATATTTTGTACTTGCGTGACAATAATGTTGATTTCTATGTTGTAAAGATACTTATCATATCAATTTCATGAATGAACACGAAGAATAAATCTTATGTTTACTATACTTACGCGTTATACGTACATAGTTTGTACGTTTGCAGAAATCGTAGAAATCAGCTGGTATAGATATATGTAAGTATGTATGTATGATATGCAATATATGAATAATGAATGTGGTATGTATATATACTTATATGCATACTTACATAGATTGGAGTCCGGGGTAGTATAACCATATCTAACCTTAGTTACAATCAGTTACAATCATTCAAAACAAAAACAAATGGAGCTCGAAACGATACTTCGAAAGTATGTTGTAGTAGATAAATGTAAGTATTGCTAGTAAATAATAATTATGATCAATTAACATAGGTTTGATAAAATATTTAAATAAACAACAAATGTGATATTTTCATAGCAGAAGAAAAATCGACAGAAAATGAGCAGAAAGAAGATGAATATTTCCAAAAAATTTATGAACAATGGAAGGGCACCAAAGCTAAAGATAAGGACTTAACTTATAAAGTGATTCCCAAATTTTATTTTAAGGTAATACAAATAAAAAAATATAAAACATGAGTGAAGTGAACAATTTCAAAAAACAATTTCAACCACAATAAAAAAAATGAAGATAAAATATAGTTGTACAAAGTAAGAATTTATTTGTAACTTAAAATAACTTATAAAATACTAAAAAAGAGGAGAAATCCAGGGAAACCCAGATGGTTGGCAGCCCTATCTAAAACTGTTGTTTTTTAATACATTAATTTTTAAATTTCAGTTGCCAAAAGAAGATGAAATTCTACCACAGAAATTACGAGAAGAAACAAGAGCATTATTTTTGCAAAGACGTTCCCGACAATTGCTAGATAACAATGAATTGAAAGCATTATGGGTATTATTAGACAAACACCATAGTCCTCCAATATCAGGTGATGAACAGTTGATAAATTATGAAGATTTTAAGAAAGTTGGTAAATTGGCAGGTGCAAAGTGTAGTCCATATTTTACTGCAGTTGTATTTGCTAAATTACAACAAGGCGATCCTCATGGTAGAATAAGCATAATGGCATTATTTAATTATGTTATGAGGAAAGTATGGTTACATCAAACAAGAATTGGATTGTCTTTGTATGATGTTACTGGTCAAGGCTATCTGAGAGAATCTGTAAGTTTTGATATTCTATTGTATATTAATTTAAATGATTATAATTAATATAGATATTCTATTCATAATTCTTTTCAGGATTTAGAGAACTATATATTAGAGTTAATACCAACTCTACCTCAGCTTGAAGGGCTAGAAAAATCTTTTCATTCATTTTATGTCTGCACAGCAGTGAGAAAGTTCTTGTTTTTTCTTGACCCCCTCAGAACTGGTAGAGTTAGAATACAAGATATTTTGGCATGTAGTTTTCTTGATGATCTTCTAGAATTAAGGGACGAGGATTTACCTAAAGATTTGCAAGAAGCAAATTGGTTTTCAGCCCCGTCGGCACTTAAAGTTTATGGACAGTATTTAAATCTTGACAGAGATCATAATGGAATGCTCAATAAAGAAGAACTTGCAGGGTAATTTGAATCCATGAATATAATTTCCAGGATTACTTTACACCCTTAATTATGTTGTTTAGAAAAAAAATTAAATTCTCGTTTTTTAACTGATTTTTATGTAACAGTCCAGAAAAAAAATTAAATATCCCTTTCTTACGATTTGTTTTGATCTAACACAATCCAATAAATTTGCCTCTTTAAAAACTTTCACTTAATTTTAATTCTAAGTGAAAATATTCCTATTTAATTTTCTAGGAAATTGCTGTTAATTAACAATAAACATTCTTAATTGGTTTTTCGTACCATTTATGCTGGTTTTTACAGTTTCAAAGCAATCTTTCATTTTTTCAAATGCCATAGTATCTTTTTTGTACATTTTTTTAAACAGATTTTTTGCGAACTATATACCACATAAAAACAGAATTAAGTGATAATTTAAAAAAATTATTTGTTAACAGGTATGGGACAGGAACCTTAACTGGAGTGTTTCTTGAAAGGGTATTTCAAGAATGCTTAACTTATGAGGGGGAAATGGATTACAAAACATACCTAGATTTTGTTCTAGCATTGGAAAATCGGCATGAACCACAAAGCTTGCATTATTTATTTCGAATTCTGGATATTAATAATCGTGGTTATCTGGACACCTTTTGTCTTAATTATTTTTTCCGTGTATGCTGATAAATAAACATCTCTATAAACTTCTGTATTTTGTAATATAAAAAATTAATATAATTTCAATATATCTCGTAGGCTATACAAGAACAAATGACAATGCATGGTCAAGAGCCAGTGAGTTTTGAGGATGTTAAAGATGAAATATTTGATATGGTAAAGCCTGCAGATCCTTGTAAAATTACGTTGCAGGATTTACTATCGTGGTAAATAATTTTATAATCTTATATAGGTCTAAAAGTTTTTCTTTCTGAAGAAAGAAAACAAACCTTGCTGAGTGATTCATATTTTACAGTGGTCAGGGTGATACAATGGTCAGTATTTTAATAGAATTCCATGGATTTTGGGCATATGAGAATCGTGAGGCCATGGCAGCTGATACTGGTGATGAATCATCGCATGTTATATTAACGATAAAATGTGTAATGATAATTTTATAATAAAATTATTTTTTAGCAAATTACTATGTGTACTATAATCTTTTAATATTCTGTGACGTTAATATCCTTTAAGTTTACTAATACATATGTTATTATTAGTAACGTTTATTATTCCAAATATTTAAAAGTAGAAATGGTACATATTAGGCAATGGTATTTATTTTTGGAGATGAAAGTATAGATGTTTTATTTGTAACTTTTATTTGTTTATTTAAAACATATAATTTAGGTACATATAACTTTTATTTATTTAATTAAAACAAGAACTAGATCAGGGTACAATGTATCTAAAACAGAGTTTGGAGTATTATTTTAAATACAAATAAGGACTTCAAATATACCAAAGAAATGTTACAAATAAGAATATTTTTTTCATTCGTATTTAATTTTCAATCACTACATAAGTACAACAGCATTTTAATCTAAAATTTTATCTAAATTTGTTTAATTCACGTTTATTCCCACTCTCTACCATTTGTATTCACGACGACCAATCAAATCATTTCATTTCAAATGACCCTATGTAAGCGTACGCTGCCCCCCTCTACAACGGTGGGTTTAATGACGTTTTCCCTGTGTAGTTACTCCAATCCTGTGAAGAGCTTCGGTTGGTTTTCTTGCGACGCATCCTATTGTATTTGAATTGCGCGAAAATGTTTTCCATGCACCGCGTCGTTTTTTCTGCATGAGAGTACTATGGTTCAAAACGGCAAATAGTTGGTGTCATTTTCAAACTTGCGACGTTTCCTTAACGAATAATATCAAAGAGAAAGGTCGAGAAATTAGAACTGTCAGTTTCAGTATATTGCACGCGTTTGATTGCCTTGGCGGTTGTGTTTAAATTCAACGGTTGGGAATAACTTCCTATTACGTATGATTTAAAGAAACGTGCGAATTCTTTTAACGTTTGGTTGACGGCAGTACTCTTCAATATACTGTTTAATATTGAGCGAACGTGATCATTCATATTTCACAGTTATTTAGACCGTCGGCTTGGATTAGGATAATACCGTTTACATCGTACAATGGACCCTTTCACTCAGGTAAAGCCCTTCCATTCAATTGCAATATACAACACGGTGATGGTCAATGGTCACAGTTTTGGTGAAAATTTTTCGCGAAGATATTCATTATTCTGTTAATACATGTTTCAACGCTGTTTGAATTGTTTTAATATGGAAATAACTATTAATGTTTCAATATTTTATTTTTAGAAATTCATAAACTAGTGAAACTAAGTATACAACTATTTATTAATTATTAGTTTTTTTTTAAATCAAGTATTTGGAGTTTTATTAATTTTTGTGGTTTTATTAAAGTTGTGACTAGACTGCATAGGTATATTTATGCAAATATCCACCTTATAAGATATTTAACTGGAATTGGAGTCACAGAAAAATGAATTTCAGCCTTGATTGGGTTTATAAAGTAAAGAAGTATATTAAAAATTTAAATTCTCCTAGTTACAGGTTTTATTTTATTCTACTTTTGCATACTTATTTATGCCATAAATGTAATAAATCTGTAGTCTAATTACAATAATGGACCACTATTAATTTCTCAAACAAATGGACTTTTACTAATTTTTTGTATTGAATAAATAAACAGCGGATGTTAGAACGTGCTAGGGCAAGAAGGGAGAAATTAGATAATCAATTATCGAATGCTGGACATGATGTTAAAAGAAGACGTAGTCCTTTAAAGGATGCAAATGCTATTTTGGCACAGGCTACAGGTATTAAAATTTATTAGTAGTTTGTTTTGTGTAATGCTTAACAATTAATTTTAATCATTGTAATAAAATAGAATATTTGTAAATAAGTAATTGTACAGGGTAATGTTTAGATTTTATATACTTTTTTAATTTAAAGTCATAAAGAGTAAAACTCCAACAAAGTCTCCTGCAAAACTGTCAATGGATAGTTCATCTCCAACAAAATCTCCCAGAAAATCAGTGTCTAAGAACGTTAATAATGACACAGAAGAACAAGTAAATAAAGAGAATGGACAGTTTGGGCTATGCAATGTGAAGTCAAAGTTACAAAGGCTTGGCAAACTATATTCTGGTAAGCTATATTCTGTAGTACACCCACACAGTTTGCCTTAAACTGGTTTCTCACACTGCTTTAATGGGATGTCTGTATGTACTTTCTACAATGCAAGTCATATGTATATGATAAACACAATTGCCGGACAAAGGATTTATTTCAATGTATTTCTTGTTTTGTTGTTTCAATTATTGCCATCCTATTATTGAAATAATTAAAAAAACGTTAACCACCATGGATCTACCAACAATTTCAGAATCATAATTATTATTCAGGAGGACAAAAGTACATTACACTTAAATCTAATTAACACTTTTGAAATGAAAAACCTATGAATTTTGTTAAAAAATGAATTGCGTAAATTACATATAATGTAGGTACTTTTTAAGCACATTGGTATATAAAAGCAGCTTGTTTCAGTACACATAATTCTGTTTTTACTTGATAGGTACATTCCCGAAAAATCCGTGTAAAAATTCGTGTGAAAAAGAGATTGTGCATATGAAAAAATGTTTCCAGATCATAAACCTGATAAAAATAATACGATAAACGATTTGATAAGTTGTTTTTTAATTCAGACCAATTTCCTAACAAAATAAGAAGAAATATTTTTTTTTAGAATTGAAATTAAGTGAAGATTTTTGAAAAGTTAAATTTATCGGATTTTCAGGTGAAACTAAATCGTACAAAAATAGAATTTCATTTTATCCTAAATTTCATTAAATCAAAATCATGTAAATAATCCGTATAAAAACAGAATTCAGTGTATACTCAGTATATTATTTTCAAAACGTTTGTATCACGAAAAATAGAAGTAATACCAATGCATGTACATGAACTATAATATAGTATTTTTGGTTTTTGTGAGTATTTTAAATAACATTATTAATGTGTGTAAACTTGAATACAGAAATGCATTGATATTTGCATTATCTATTGTTCATGTGAATTTAGTTTTATGGAAGCTATAGATAATTTTTCTTTTGTAGACGATAGCAGTCGGGAGTTAAGTTCACCAATTCACAGAACAGAAGAAAGATTTTATGCAACAGAAGAGGCCACTGAACAAAAACCATCGAAGAAAGGGGCTAGACTTGACCGACTAGCAGCCCTTGCCTCAACAATTAACAATTGGGAAGATGATCTTTCACATCCAGTTTTGGTAAATGGATTATGAATTTTTGAAGATTTTATTGTATTTCAGAAAATTGAAAAGACGTATATATTTTTTTTAGGCGAAACCTGTAGAAAGCAAAGCGGACAGGATACAAGCAAAATTGAATGAACAAGTTAAAAATGCGTCAGAACCACAGCCAAGCACAAGTGGATATAACAAAGGAATTAGAAACAGCAAAGGAGGTAGTCCCAAGAAGTGTGAACCATGTTCAACAAAACAATTAAAGTGGGATAAAACTGTATTAGAAACATTGGTAAGTACTATTTTTGACATATAAATTTTATTTGTTTCTTTTATATGACTAAAGCTTTAAAAAGTTTTTCTGTGAAGGAAATATAAAAATCGTGTACATTATAATGGGTGAAGGAATGGATGTATTACATGTGATCGAGTCTGTTCGATGAAACCACTATTTACAGGAGGCTCAAGGCTTTAGTCGTACAAAAAGCAATAGTCGCCTTGTATATGACTATAAGGCTTGTTCTCAGGGAAAAGTTGCGGGTTCTACGAGTTCATCACCCAAGCAACTTCTACAAATTCAAGAAGATGCTAGAAAAAACGAAGAAACCGATGACAAGAAAGCAAAAATTTCTTCAAAAACTGTTAATGCTAAAAGTTCCAACACTCCAGAGAAAACGTCAAGGAATGCAACACCCAGCACAAGCAGTTCCCGATTGGCACCAAGATTTGGTTTCAATAACTCTCCAAAAAGTCCTGGTCAATCTAGCCCAGGCTCAGTACTGAGTAAAGCTTCTCTATTCGAATCTAAAAATACAGAAGCTAAAGTAAAGGATCCTGCTCAGATGTCACTTTCTGAGAGAATGGCGCTTTTTGAGAAAAATAAAGGAGAAGCACCTTTATTACCAAAAGCACCTCTTACTATGTCTGTGCCACCGAAAAAGCTTCAAGAGAAGGAAAAGACGGGTCACGCAAACAATGGAGGTATTTTTAATACTGTAAATTAATTACAAAATAATATAACTTTGTGTTATTAAAAATATATCTTTAATACAATCTTACATTTGAAGGTTCTGTTACAGGAAAAGCTAAAACCGGTGTTCCTAGCAACTCTGTCAATGCTCAACGAGAAAAGTTTGAACAAGGTTTAAGTACTCAAGAGTTAGAAAATAATATTTTGCGTAACACTCATTTAGAGAGACAGCGCGAGTTGGATATGCTTCGGTCACGTTTTAATAGAAATAAAGAAATGGCTCAAGCTGCTGCTGGTTCTTGTATTAGAACAAGTGAAAGCAGCGAGGGAAAATCAAATTCTCCGAAAAATTCTCCAGTTTGTCCAGTGAAACCAACACCCGCACCTGTAAGTACAGCATTATTTTTTAATTAATTTCTATAGTATATGATTTTTATTCAAGGTGATGAATATAAAGTATACATACTGTTTTTGTAATAGGATCACGGTGTTCCCCCACCTCCACCTCCTCCTCCACAACTATATGCTTCTAATTCAAAACTTATGCCTAATCAAAACAAGAATTCACCAGTGAAAAGACAAGGTATGTAATTGCAATTATTACAAAAATATTACGATTTAAATATTTATAACGTATTCAAACAACATATTTAATTTCGTACATTTTATAGTTGTAGGTAGTCCTTCAAAAAAACAGGAAGTAAAAACAGTGTCTGATGTTAAACGTATTCGCGTTGCTCCACCTAAGCCTGGACATCTTTACCCTAATCTATCTGATATTGAAAATACGACAGAGACAGAAACAGAAACGGATACAGAATATACTGTTAATAGTACAGAAGCAGAAACTGCTACCTTAGACGAGAAAACTGACACTGAGACTGGAACAGAGGCTGAATATTATGTACAGGTAAGATAATTACAGAACATTTCAATTTAAACAGAGACTAGTGTGTTTCATATGATTTTTTATATTTAATCGTGTATGTTTAATTTTTAATAGGATACTGGGACCGAGGTCGACAGCGAAGAAGACTGTGAAGAAGTGAATACCAGTCTGGGCAGGAGTATTTTGCGAGCAGTAAATGAACAAGCATTTTTAAATAAAAAGGTATATTTTAGTGTTTAAAAATAATATTTTTGCAATGTAGTGATACTAAATACACGTTATCCCGTATTTGTTGACTTGTTATTACAAAATTTTGGGAATACAACTTACAGAGATCAATTGATCCAGATCCAGACAGTACAACTTCCGATATTTCGGTATTGGACGAGATGGATGAATATTTAGACGAATGCCTAGCGCTGCAGGAAGCACATGCTGCAAGTGCTAATATGGAAGAAGGGCCAACTCCACCTAAATTAAACAAAGGTGGTAAAAGTCCATCAAATGTGTCAACGAGCTTCAAGTATAGTCAAGGGTAAGATACAAATTGGTACATGTACATATACCAGACATGTGTATAATTAATATTTTAATTAAAAAGTAACGTTTTCATTCTTAAGGTCATTATACCGCTCACCTGTAAAAACGGTTACCCCTTCATCTTCCAAAAAGGGTGAAACTTATGTCATAGATGGTGATAATTGCGTACCATTAATGCACAGTGTCAGCTTTTATCGACGACAACAATCTCAAGTGAGCTATTTAAATACTACAACCATGTGTTTATATTTTTATTTAATTTTACTAAAAAAATTAATTTCAGACGCCTAAAACTCCCGTGCGTATAATATCGAGAACGCAAGAATCTACAAATATTGTTTCCGACGCGACACAAGTTGATGATAAGGACGAATCTCTTTTAGTACAGAAAAAAGTGAAGCGTTTGCTGGACGATGTGTGCAAACAGCAAACAATTATCGGCCAAGCTAGTCAAGCACTGAATTTGTGTACTTCGACTGTAGAGTTCAATGATTCTCGAGAGCAAGTTGAGGGAGAACGATTATTACTCGTTGCTAGTAATTATTAAATACTAATATAACTTCAAACCTTACTTATTAATTACACACTATTTAAATGGTTTAAAATATATAACTTGTATAATATAGCGCACAGACGACAAGCTGCTTTAAATGAAGTTCAACGATTAAAAGTAGAGGGCACATTGAAACCTGTTACTCCTGGATCACCGGAAGTACAAGAAAGTGGTTCATTAACGGTTTCTGCTATTACTTTCCCTCTTAGACGAGAATTCTACCGCAATAATAGTCCCGGTGAATATTATTAAGTAAAACTGAAGAATAATATAGCGTTAGAGAAGTTTATTAATTTAATAATTCTTTTGTAGATACGCGTCTTCATTTTGTTTGTTTGATGCGACATTTGGAGGAAATAGTTGCTACTCCAGTGGTTGTAGCAGAACATGGCGACTCGTGTCTTCGATTTCCATCAACACTTAAATTACATGATTTGAATAATGATTTTAAAATTACCGTTGAAATTTATTCCCTCCAAACACAAGCTGAAATCTTGCCACACGAAATAAAATATCACATCAATAATTGTAACAGTAATAGCAGTAATAACAACAATTGCAGCAAAAAAGTAAGTAAATTGTCTTCGATATACTTAAAGAAAAAACTAAGTTTTAATGTACAATTATGGACAATCTAACTAAATATGTCAACATCTTGCAGCTAGCAAATAAAACTCCGAAAAAATTTTTGAAACAAGATAGCCGATTAATAATGCCATCTGTTCAAAGTCCAGCAGGGCCAAATGCTGTTAGATCTCCCGCGTTCCAGTTGTCTGGCTACGTTATTTTTAGTCTAAAAGAAGTGCATCGACAACAATTTACACTAAATAAGGTAAGCATTGGTGTAAACATTGTATAAGATGATAACTCCTGAAATATGTGTGACTGTTGTTATTTATTTCACGGCAATTTATAGGTACCACAACAGTCTCCATTAGAAGGTCGATTACAAATGCATGTCTCGTGCGAGCTTTCAGTATCGGTGGAACATAGAGGATTTCTAACAATGTTTGAAGACGTTTCTGGATTTGGTGCTTGGCATCGTAGATGGTGTTTGCTGAAAGGATCCACATTATCGTATTGGAAATATCCCGACGATGAAAAGAAGAAGACTCCTATTGAGAGCTTAGATTTACAAAGTAGTTATACACAACTTTAATTCATTACAGTATTTATTAAAATACAGTAAAATTGAATTATTTTGTTTTACTTTCACATTTATAGGTGTTTCTACAATGAACGTTGGATTAGTCTCCAGAGATATATGTGCACGGCCTAATACGTTTTTACTTGAAGCAACTAGAACTGCAGAACCTGGCGACACTGAAAGCTTGATTATGATTAGAAATGGACATATGACAACAATTAGGTAAATATTACAGCTTGTCTTCGAAAAATTACAAAAACAGAAAAGTCGATCATAGTGAAATTGTTAACATTCTTTTTAGGCATTTATTATCGGCGGATACAAAAGAAGATAGATTAGAGTGGTGTTCAAAGCTTAACAAAACGTTGAATTTAATACACGCTTGGGGTGGCACTTCGACATTGTCGTAATCTAATTTGTATTTCAGGACCTGGCACATTAGAGCGTATTAAAATACGTTTACTAGTTGTTACTGCGCTTATGGATTTCCTATACATGTTGTAGATTTATGATTTCCAAACAACGCATCTGCAATTTAATTTAATATGATAATGTAAATATTAACTGTCTTAAATTGTGAAAGATCGATTTTTCTACAAAACATAGTACTATGAGTAATGGCAGAAAGCAGAACAAATTATTTTGTGCTTCGAATACGATACGAATAATGAATATAATCCAATTTTTAATTTTAGTTTTGACGAAAAGTAATAATCTTCATTAAAAAGATACATTTCTTTTGTTGCTCAAGAAAGTATAATTTACTCTTATAAAGCTAATGACAAAGGATGTTAAATACGCTTGGAAAAATCTATTCCGTTAGTTTTAATATTTTACGTGAAGAGACATTTAATGAATTGAATAGTATTCCTAAAACAAGAATAATTGATTCTAATTGAAACAATATCTCAAGATAACTGAATGAATTATTATAACAACAAAACTTGACAAAATCTATGCATTATCAAAATGCATTATAATGAATTCATTTAATTATGACATTAAACTAAAGTATGATTATAGCTATTTTCATAAGCTACACATACTCTATTTAACAATTTGTGCCTTTTAGTGTGTATTATTAGGTCGCATAATATACTGTACTGTACATAGTAAGATGATTACTAACAAATACGTAGGCTGATGTAGATGTATGTATACCCAAATATTTTTTACTACATACTTGCTGTAATATTGAAACTGAAATTCTAAATACAAAAAATTTTATATTTTTTACTTTTGTATATTAAAGTATAGTTTTATACTTTAGGTGTAAAATGTTAAAAATAAAACATCAGCAAATTTTCCTAGGAAGGAAATTAAATTTCCTAGCTTTTCTTTCATCTGTTATTATAATTAATAAGTTATTAAAATAATATTACTAATTATCTTTATTGTAGAATACACTAACTATTTAGAAAGGTAAATTATAATTAATTAAAAACAGTAATGGATAATATAATTATGACATATCATACATTCAATATATGAGCCGCTATTTTGTAAAGTACATAGTTGTTAGCGCTCGTCGCTAACACAGGTTTATGGAACGGTCAGGGGATTTTAAAATTCATTGAAACCCTCGGAAGGAAACGTATTCCTGACATTTGGCAATAAAATGTGCAGGAGACCAACCTTGAAAGGGCCGCATGACCCTCGGAGTGTCATAAATCATAAACCCCAGATTTTGGGACAGTACCTCCGCGCGGGGACTTAACGGTTTTTCGGAACCGCGTAAGGAAAGCGGAAGCGACTGGAAAGTCCCGCGATGTTGTCGAACTGCCGTTCACCCCCATCGACAGAAGGTTGCGGCAACCCCCTCCTTTAAAGTATCGCGCCAAGTGTGCATAGAGGAGATGCACGGACCCAGCAACCATTTTTCGAACAGTTTTTTTGGGACAGAATTTAGAAGAGATCCAACAATTAGGTTGGAGCTCTGAGTGAACAGTTAGGTTCATTGTTGTATTTACTTCAAAGCACTCAGACTCTTTCTGTATCTACTGTATATAAATATAGTTCAGTTATTAGTTGGCATCACTGCTCTCAAGTTGAGAGTCTCAACTGTTCCCAACTCTCAACTCTTAACCTTATAGCATATACAATACATATAAGTTCAGTGCTCTTTTCTTGGTGCTCTAGGTGATCTTCAGTACTTCAGTAAGTCATAAGAAATAACTTTTTCTGTACTCTTATGTAACCAAATGAAGAAAATAGGTAATTTTTATGCTAGGCAAAGAATTTTCGGAACTATTGCGAGATGTTACAAGGTAGTACAATCACCTTATGTGGACAAAGTAGTGATTCAAGGAATTCAGTTGAAGAAAATTCTAAAGCTGTTCCTAGCTCTAGGAAACGGAGACGTTCTGTTACAGACAAAGATTATATACTATCAAAGAGGCCATACAAAGAATTAGAATTGTCTGATAGTTTACACAACAAATCTAGGCAGGATTTGCCTGACAAACTGTGGAATCCTTGTCAATACAAGAGTAATCTTCCTGATACGTTGATTAGGCTTATGTATTGGTTAGATTTGTCAGTGCTTTGCTCACTTAGAAAGTTTATGTATGAACATAAATATCCTTTAGTATCATTAGCATTTAGGGGTTTTGGAGCTGATAAATTTAATAATATTGTTCTCCACAATAAAGAGAAGACTATTCAAGTACAAATTGAATATGTAGACAAATATTATATAGATAATGATATTAGTTACACTAAACTGTTTAATAAAAAAGAACGAAGTTTTTCTATTAGTAAGTATTTTGATAGTTTTGTTACACATTTGATATCTAAAGTAGACAGCTCATTAAGTAATATAGAATATCTTATTATCTATACTAATTCAGGTTTCGATCTTACAGAAGAAAAGAATTTGAAAAAAGGGCGATCTAGAAATTTTTATCCATTTAAGCTTGTTAGTATAGATGTAAAGGAATGTGATATTTTAAAAGACTTTTTGTTTACAAATGATAATGCGAATAAGTGTGATTTTTATAAATTTATACAAGATAGGACAACAAAAAAGGAATTTTTAAAGCGATTAGAATTTTCATCTACTGTGAAAAAAATAATAGAAAAAAGAAAATTGTCTCAGGAATTTGAAAAAGAAATAAAAGGATCATTTTTAGATAAATTAGTATTTGCAGTTAATCAGCCTAATAGAGAAGAACTAAACAGCATAGTTAAAAGTGAAATAGAAAAAAGTAAAATTCTAGAGGATTATATAAAATTACAAGAAAGAGTATTATGTAATTTAACAGTTTCAGAAAAATGTAAAAAAGGTGGAAATGATATATCTCAAATTACATATGGATTCAATTTATTAATGTCCTTCTTGCATGACATGTTCTTGCATAAAAATATGTTTTCCATAAACTTTGAAGGAAAAAGATATTGTATTTCTAATGACATTATTATCAATTATAAAAATAGATTTACTTACGTAAAAGCTTATACTATGAACAGTAATATTGGTTACAGTCAGTTGTTTTGTTCCAAACAACAGAAAGAGAAGAGTCTGTTTTCTATTAACAAACAGTTTACTTTCTTTGTTGAAGAACTAAAAAATGATGTAAGATATTTTATAATGTATACTAATGCAGATCTGGACCTTACAGAAGGAAAACGTTTAAAAAAAGGGAAATCTAAAGATTTTTTTCCTTTAAAATTTGATAGTATAGATATTCGAAAAAAAAGGTATAAAATTTTAAGAAATTGTTCGTGCATACGTCAGGACAGTCTTTATCGATTTACGGAAGAAGAAACAAGAGCGAAAGTTTTAAGTTTATTGCACCTTCCTCCTACTTTGCGAAAAGAAAAAGAACAAGGAAGACTTTCAAATGAGAATGAAAAAGAAATAAAAGAGAAATTTTTAGATAAACTAATATTTGCAGTTAATCAAGCTAATAAAGAAGAGTTGAGAAGGGTTATTAGAAATAAGGTAGAAACAAATAATGAGCCTAATAAAGTTTTATATAATTACAAAGAATTGCATGAAATAACATTACGTTGGTCAGAATCTCATGAATTTGGACCAATTACTGAAAAAATAATGAAAAAGCTTCTTGAAGATATAAAAAATAATAGATTTAGTTATCGGAAAATTCAAAATAAGAACATTATCGATGAAATTAAATTTGCTAAAAGTGTGGTTGGCAAAGTAGGAGCAACTGCATTTAATCAGTTCTTAGACTTTTTAATTAAAGGAGAAGGAAGAAAATATCTAGAAGTTCTAAAAAGAAACGGAATAAATCTAACAACTATGTCTAGCATTTTATGTGGAGCTGAAACTAATCCTGAAAAAGCATTTAAAGATTTATATGAATTTTGGTTTGACGTAGAAGGAAATGAAACACAACATTTAAAAGCTCTAAAAGAAGCGGGAATAAATCTTTCTAATGTGTCCAGTATATTGTGTAGAGCAAGAGCCAATGCTCCAGAAGCTTATAAAAACTTATATGATCTTTGGTTTGATGCACAAGGGAACAAAACGAAATATTTGAAAACTCTAGAAAAAGAGGGGATAAATCTAGTTAATATGTCTAGTATCTTGCATGCAGCAGGAGCTAATGCTGCAGAAGCTTTTAAAGACTTATATGATCTTTGGTTTGATAGAAAAGGAAATAAAACACAATGTTTAAAAAATCTAGAAGAAAAGGGAATAAGTCCAGCTAACATATCCAGTATTTTAAATGGTGCTGGTACTAATGCTGCAAAAGCATTTAAAGACCTATATGATCTTTGGTTTGATGTGAAAGGAAATAAAACACAATATTTGACTACTCTAGAAGAAAAAGGAATAAATCTAACTAACATGTCTAGTGTTTTGAGTGCAGCAGGAGCAAATGGTGCAAAAGCTTTTAAAGACTTATATGATGCTTGGTTTGACACAGAAGGAAATAAAACACAGTATTTAAAAACTCTAGAAGAGAAGGGAATAAGTCCTGCTAATATATCCAGTATTATACATGGATCAGGAGCTAATGCTGTGAAAGCTTTTAAAGGTTTCTATCATCTTTGGTTTGATGCAGAAGGAGATAAAACACAATACCTAAAAGCTGTAATAGAAAACAGAATAAATTTGCCTAACATATCCAATATTTTGAATGGATCAGGAGTTCATGCTGCAAAAGCTTTTAAAGACCTGTATGATCTTTGGTTTGATGTGAACGGAAATAAAACACAATATTTGAAAGCTCTAGATAAAAATAAAATAAATCCAGCTCATATATTCAGTATTTTACGTGCATCAGGAGCTAATGCTGCAAGAGCTTTTAAAGACCTATTTCATTTTTGGTTTGATGTGAACGGAAATAAAACACATTATTTGAAAAATCTAGAAGACAAGAGAATAAGTGCAGCTAGTATATGCAGTATTTTACGTGGATCAGGAGCTAATGCCGCGAAAGCTTTTAAAGACCTGTATTATCTCTGGTTTGACGCGAACGGAAATAAAACACAATATTTAAAATCTATGGAAGGAAACGGAATAAGTCCAACTAATATATCCAGTATTTTAGGTGGATCAGGAGCTAACGCTGCACAAGCTTTTAAAGATCTGTATCATCTTTGGTTTGACATGAACGGAAAAGAAACACAATATTTAAAAACTGTAAGAGGAAAGGGAATAAGTCCAGCTAATATATCCACTATTTTACATCAATCAGGAGTTAATGGTGCAAAAGCTTTTAAAGAATTATATGATCTCTGGTTTGATTCAGAAGGAAATGAAACACAATATTTAACAACACTAGTAGAAAAAGAAATAAGTCTGCCTCCCATAACCAAAATTTTAAGTGGGGCAGGATCTAAAGCTGCAAAAGCTTTTAACGACCTATATGATGTTTGGTTTGATGTGAATGGAATGAAAACAGAGTATTTAAAAACTCTGGAAGAGAAGGGAATAAGTGTAGCTAATGTATCCAGTATTTTGCGCGGATCAGGAGCTAATGCTGCGAAAGTTTTTAAAGACTTATATGATCTTTGGTTTGACGAAGAAAGAAATGAAACACATTGTTTAAAAACTTTAATAGGAAAAGGAATAAATCTGTCTCACATATCCAGTATTTTGAACGGTGCTGGCACTAATGCTGCAAAAGCTTTCAAGGACTTATATGGTGCTTTGTTTGATGACCAAGGAAATAAAACACAGCATTTAAAGCATTTTATTAAAGAGAAAAGTGGGAAAAAAAGTTTTACACTGCATCACTTATGCAGTATATTAAGTGAATCAGGAGCTAAAGCTAAAGATGTTTTTGAACAGTTACATAGTATTTGTTTTACTGTTAACGGGAAAAGAACAAAACTTTTAGATGATTTCTATAATGCAGGTTTTAAGCCAAGTAACATATCCTGTGCACTATGTGGGTCAGGAGTTAATGTTAAAGATGATTTTGAGAAATTACATAGTGTTTGTTTTACTGATAAAGGTACAAGAACGAAGGTTTTAGATGATTTTTATAATATAGGTTTTAGGCCCAGTGATTTTTGCAGTATACTGTCTGGAGCAGTGGATAGATCTACAAAATTTCATGATTTTTGCTTTCTAGGAAAGACTAAAAAGTATTTACATAATTTCTTAATACGTGGTTTTACGCCGACAGATGTATCTAAGATATTGCGTGGAGCAAAAGCTAATATTTGTTCTGCTTTAAAACATTTTCATGACATTTGTTTTGATAAATCAGGAAATGAAAAACAGCTTTTACACGATTTCCGTGAGGCAGGGTTCATGCCTAGTGATTTATCTAATTTAGTGATTTATCCATGACAGGAAGTAATTCCGCATCTATTTTTAGAAATTTTCATAAATTATGTTTTAATAATGAAAATTACTTGTGTCAGTTTTTAACTCGGCAAAAAGTTTGTACACCGAACGATTTATCCAAACTGTTACACGGAGCAAGAATTAACATTTGTCCTATTTTTGAAAAATTGCATAATATTTGTTTTGATAAGACAGGGAAGAAAACAAATTATTTTAAAAATCTCATAAAAAATAACCGTCATGAGATACTTAATATATTGTATGAACGAGTTAGAGGAGTTCCTTCGAGTTTTTTAGATGATATATCACTTCAGTAATAAGACATTTCTAGGATAGAAAAAAAAGATAGAAAGTATAGCTGGTTCTTCTGTGAGAATTTCTAAAAGTTCTAGAACCTACTATGAAATAGATAGAGTAAAGAAAAGTGTATGATGAGTCATTGAGAGATGGAAGTAAAATTGTATGCGACTGACGTAAGTGACGAGAAATGCAAAAATTTCATAACGAAGTGTTGAACAATGAGCAATAGGAAGATTAAGGAAACATAATATCAGAACAATCATTAATCAGATGTAATTGACAATAAAATATACTGCCATACGATTTTTCGCCATGAAAGAGATTTGGGTTGCCCGAAGTAGGGAAAACATGACTGTAGGTAGTAGCTAGCAGTAGTAGAGAGGGTATATTTGTGCAAGGGACACGACGTCCCGCTTTCGTTCATAGTAGTCACGATCGTATACACAGGTCCACAAACTCCCGTGGTGGGGGTGATCCCTTAAAGATGTCAAGTGTACTTTCAAACTTTGCCACGAAGCAAGGACCCAACGGTCTTATGGTTCAGTTATGAACCTAGGAATGGGACCTTGCTCTCAGTCTTCTAATTCCTAGATCCATGGGTTCAGTTGCGATCATATACATTCTCACAGCCGACTCTAGTACTAGCCGTGTGGAAGGTAAAATGGCAACAATGCGAGAGTCCGGCTTCAATATACCATTTTTTTCTTTTTTTAGACCAATCCAATATATAAATTAGGATATACATATGAGAAGCGTATACTCATGTGATAAGTACTACACGAGCATGTATGTAAACTATAAAAAAAACACGAATTAAATATAATGTTTGTAAGAAAATCATTTTATACATTTTATGTAAATAATAAAATATTAGTACCATAACAGAAACTTATAGTATATTACTAATATCAACCGAGAACGGCTGAAATCGGCACCAAAGGAACCACCAGTTTTGTAGACGAACACCTTACCAACTTGTACTTACTTTATGCTATCATTTGTCGAAGGCATTTATCTTTGAGCATGTATACATGTGTTAAAAATTTAACATTAAATATCTCATAAACTAATGGCCATATGCCACTGAAACAAGTATCGTTGGCTTCAGAATTCCATGGCTTGTCACTCTGCCCAAGCCAGTTATAAAGTCAGCATAACATTTACGGACCTTTCCTTGTAAGTCTTATTTTGTCGTCTTAATTGTAACATGTATGCATACTCAGTAGTGGATAACTAATAAATAGTTTCTAGTTCTAAGAAGATTTTACACGGTTTTATTTTATTTATTAGGTCGAGTCATAAGTAACTTCCGATGCAGCTAAGTAGAATCTATTGTTCGTATCTACCCGCTATGAGTTACCATGACAACAACTTTTTGTTTTCACTATATAGACGAGGCTTCAGTTAATCTTTTGTCAACTGTTTTGTGTGTTTACACGTTACGATAAACTGTGTTTTTTAACCTCTGAAATGGAGAGTCAAAAAGTACATATTCGTCATGTAATGCTTTGGGAATTTAAACAAGGCAATAGTGCTAAGGCGACAGCTGAAAAAATATGCAGTGTATATGGTGAAGGACTAATAACTGATCGGGCAGTTAGAAATTGGTTTATAAAATTCCGTTCTGGAGATACGACCTTAAAAGACGAACCGAGGGCGGGACGTCCTTCCGACTTTGACGACAACCTTTTAAAGGCAATATTGGAGCAAAATCCACGTCAATCAACAATAGGTATAGCAGAAAGGTTGAATACATCACAATCAACTGTTAACCGCCACCTGGAGAAATTAGGGAAAGTCAGCAAGTTAGGAGTATGGGTACCTCACAATCTCAGTGAACGGAATAAAGAAGATCGCATGTCAATCGCCACAAGTCTGCTCTCACGGGTAAAAATTGAGCCTTTTTTAAACAGGATTGTAACAGGCGATGAAAAATGGGTTACCTATGACAATATAGTCCGCAAAAGACAGTGGCTTGATAAGGATCAACCACCCCTACCAGATCCGAAAGCAAACATCCATGGCAAAAAGATTTTATTGTGTGTATGGTGCGATTGTCAAGGAATAATTCACCACGAGTTGTTGAAGTCAAATTTAACGATTACTGCGGATAGATACGTTCAGCAGTTGCAAAGAGTGCAAGAGAAACTCCATGAAAAGCGTCCTGCACTCGTCAATCGCAAAAACGTCATTCTTTTACACGACAATGCGCGACCACATACAGCAAGGGTGACTCAAGAAAAAATTCTTGAGCTTGGATGGTCTGTTTTACCAAATCCACCTTACTCCCCGGATCTTGCCCCGACAGACTACCACCTTTTCTGTTCCTTACAAAACTTTTTGAATGCCAAAAACCTTCAATTCTGAAGAGCAAGTCAGGCAGGCTGTCGAAAACTTCTTCCAGTCCAAACCAACCACATTTTACAAGGAAGGAATTGATAAACTGCCAGGAAGATGGGAGAAGGTTATAGATAATAATGGTGAATACATAATAAATTCATATAATTTTGTTATTCAATGAGAGCAAAATAAATGTCTGATAAAAAAACGGAAGTTACTTATGACTCGACCTAATATTTAATTCTGGTGTCTACAATTTACATTTTCCAACGAGTCACATCACATTATGTTGCCGTGTGAAACGAAAGGTTTTCATTGTCATTAGTATGTGCATACCATACGTAACAGGGCGAACAATGTCAACTTCAATCAGTGCAGTATGTACAGGCTGGGTCAACAATTTTGATCACCTCGAATATCTCCGTTATTTTTAGAGATATGGAACAACTTTGTGTACAAAAGTCTTATGGTACAGAGGGGCCCATAATATGGCAGTAATAATTTTTTTGTAGGTGGTGGATTTTCGGAGATTATAAGGTCACCTCCATTTTTTTTAGATAAGAATAGAATAGAGATAAGATTAGAATAGAGGATGCTCAGGCGATTTCAATGATCCTTATTACAAGGTCATTGAATACACGAGTAAGCAACGAATTTTACGTTACAATAGATGTTCGAACTGATGCCCGTTTGCATATGGTACAATGAGCTTTTGTTTCATATCTTGTAATATTCCCTCTCTATTAGTCATTGAACATGGTTATATTTAGGTATTTGTAACACGAAGCAAAATGTCTCTTTCTATCAAAGTGTGTCCAAATGGTTGCAGAATCATGCAGGTAGTCCTATGACAGACAAGCAGGTTCCCGAATTGCATGAAGTAGCTTTTATGAAAGCAGCTTCCATGCAAGCTGCAGTGAATGCCTTCAGAAAGACTGGGATGTTTACAATGACCTGAGAAACCCGGGTATCCGGGTATCCATTTCTATATTTCCTTTCAGATTTCTTCCTGTTCTTGTCTAAAACAGCACTTGGTATATCATAGAAAGGGAAAACTAAAAGTTTCGAAAAAGTATGAAAGTAAAATTACCTATGTTTATCTAATCTGTCAGAATAGTATCTTTGGGGTACTCTGTTTGCTCAATAACCGCGAACATTTTGGTTGCCCAAACAGAGGTTAAATAGGCAAAAAAATATCCTTGTAAATAAATAAAATAGTTTAAGATACAGTTGACTCTAACTATATTGCCATGGTCGGGGCTGTAGGGGAGTAAAATGACAATAAGTTTAGAGCCCCCTCTATGCTAAGTTTATTCGTCGTAGCCTCGGCCTCAGCGCCTGTGCAAAAACTGGATCGTGCTGGTGCGCCGGCGTATGCAACGTGGTGGGAGAGCGAGTCTGTATGCGCGAAAGTACGTGTGAAGGGGAAGTGCCTCGCATGGCAATATAGTTAGAGTCCACTGTAGTATCGATAAACTTATAGTTGAAAATTCAAAAGTGTATATAATTTACGTACCATTAAAAGACGCGCATTGCAGTTAATTTTTTAACGGTGTAGACTTCATCATCCCTCTGCAGAACTCTTCTAATGCTTGTGCTACAGCGTTACAAGGCCACTGTTCAACACCAGCACTGTTGCTTTCTCTGTCAAAAGTCTTGATTTTGCCATTTCCACTGCTCCTCCACCTGTAATAAGGAGACAATCTAATAGTAGTATGACTATATACTATAAACATATAAACTAAAAATCATTACATATCTGGTACCGATTTAGATTCATTAAGAAGATATCTTACTTCATGAAGAACAGCTTATAGGTTTCTTTGTGGCCCATTGAATACATTTTTACTGGCACCACTCAGAATTATAGTACATATGCTTTTGGATCTTTCCAGTGCATAACAAAGCAAAAGTATATATGTCGAAGTTTGTTGCTTTCAAAAAGACTAGCTTTAATTTCAAAATTTTCTTCTCTCAATTTTTCAGAGCTGTACCATAAGCTGTTATGGTTTCGTTGGTATCACTTTTTCTTAGAATATGAATACCAGGGTTTCCAGCTTTTATCAGATAGTATTAAGACAAATCTAATTCACCTTTCTCGGGAATTCCTACACAAAGTTTTACAGTTCTTTTTGTAGGTCCTAAATTTTGGTGAAATCAGCATTAACCAAAACTTCTGTATTAGTTACTGACTCTCCCTTTTTGTACTCCAATGGACATGCCAACAAAACAATTCCTGGATCTTGAATGTATCGTTTCGCTTTTTGATGAGAAACATTCTTCTTGATCGTTACTCCTATTAGAACAGTGGTGTCTTCGACAGTACCACTTAGAATTTCTTCTACCTTTTCACAATGCTTTGT